CGTTTTTTTTCACAATTATCTCTAAAGGGGGAGAGGGTAATCAAAAAACTAGACTATATAACCAATGCTCGGTGGTTCAAGTGGTAAGGAGTTTGTTCCCCTTAAGCAAGGTCTCGAGTTCGAACCTTGTGAATGGAGCAGCCATCATTGGGAGAGCTTGCGTCCCAAATGGGGTCCGACCCGGATCGAGGGATTAATCCTCACCTACATGCGCGGGACACCCTAGATTCATCCAAAAAAACTATATTATATATAGGAATTTGTCTCAATAAGTTGTGCATTTCTTTTTGGCGTGAGATATTAGAAATATGGGGCAGTGGAAGGTTAGCTAATTTTGGTACAATAAATGATTAATTCTAATAGTGTGGCACCAAAATTATACGAAAAAAGTTTAACTAAATCTCTATAAGGCATATAATTTGTTTGGATGTGCTTCTGAAATGATTGAAAACGCTTTTAGTGAAAATATTTTTAGAACCATTTATAAGTAAAGATACAAATAAATCCTGGAAAAACACTTAAAGTGTTTCCTGGAAGAAACACATAACTAGTGCTTCTTACAGAAATCACTTAAAGTGTTTTTGAAACCCAAAAATATTTTCTCTAAAAACACTTTCAATCATTTTAAAAGCATATATTTTAAAAGCACATCCAAACAAGTCTAAACATTTAGTCTTGAAAATTATACACTGGGGCTTCTATGTATGTTTTTTTATTATTTAGAAATAACGTCATTTTGTTCGAAGTTTTTTCCTTCTTTTTCTTTAGATATGCAAAATATAACCCTCATCTAATCAATAACCTTACTCGAAAGTGTTTTGTTTTTCTAATTTTTGTGGGACGAGAAAAGCAAGTTGGTATCCTTAGTGGTACAAAATGTCGAATTAGGCTCAAAATGTGCACAATCGTGTTTGTGTCCAATTGTGTCCATATGTAGGTTCATAAGTACGTGCACATTAGTATTAATTTGTGGCATGCTTACCGTGCCTGATTCCATAGTAAAGCACTTCCTTTAAATCATTGGACGTATGGTAAGCTTGAGTTTATATAGCACGAATAGGTGAAGTGTTGGTTGTATCAACTATAAAGGGCATATCATATCAATGGTATGGTATGTATGGTCATATCATATCACATGATTTAATATAAGCAAACAACGAGTTCATAAATGAAATTATAACATTATGACGCAAAAAATTTGTTAGTCATAAGTTGAAGAGGAAGTTAGTCAAATCTACATGTGAGAACGAAATCTCAAAACGAATTACATTCTCAATTTTCGTATTATAACATAACAACGTTACTTCTGATGAAGTGATCGAGAAAGTGGCATTGCCAAAATTCCAACTTTTGGAGGACAAAAAACATATGTGTTCATGTTTCAAACACACAGAAAAATCTCTCAATGTGTGAAATCTACACGTTTTATTATGGGCTGGCTCTAGTCCTTATCGTAATCATGCTAGAGAACACAAATAAAGCAAACTTGTCACATCCCGACCCGAGCTCCACCACATCCCGAGCTTGACTCTGTCGTAGCACGATATTGTCTGCTTTGGGCCCCAACCACGCCCTCACGATTTTGTTTCTAGGCACTCACGCGAGCAGAACTTCCCAGTGGGTCACCCATCCTGGGAATGCTCTGGCCCCTTTCTCGCTTAATTTTAGAGTTCCTACGGAACCCGAAGCCAGTGAGCTCCCAAAAGGTCTCGTGCTATATAGAGGTGAGCATGTACATATAAGGCGTAGAGGATCCACTTTCCTGGACGTTGTAAGATCTAACAAATATGATCAGAAACAATCTTATCTAAAAAGACACAATAAAATGAATACAAAAGAGAAAGTAGGTGCACGTAATACCTTGCAGATCAAACTCCTACATTCTTGTTTTCTTCTGTGTCGCCAGTGGCCAAGCCATTTAAGGGTAAGGAGTGGCGGCCGCCACTCCCCTCACCAGGAAACACCATTAGAGAGCTGAGTTCGCCACTCCCCTCGTTGAAAAACCCACTGGTTCATCCTCTGTTTGGGTTGGGTGATCTATTCTGCTGCGCACAGCAGCAGCAGATAACCAATCAGAGACAAAGAGGTCCCTCAGCTACTCCCAAAATCCCAGCAGCCAGGAGCGGTGGTTCCGCCACTCTGGTCCCGTTGAAAGTGAGCAATTTCGTCTGGTTCTCTGGTTTTTGGTGCTCTGCAACAGAGCCCAGTGCTGTTGTGTTTCTGTTTCCAATTTTTCAAATCCAAGCCAAACGACGTCGTTTGGGACCTGGGCAAAGATTTTTTTTTTTTAAGTAGAACGGTGCGTTTAGTTTTTTTTTTTAACTAGAACAGTGCGTTTAGTTTCTACTAAAAAACTGATAGGAGGAGACCATGCTTTATTTGTCGTTTAGTAGCACGTGATCATCGAAGACTTGTAATTAACAATTAACATCCTTCTAGTCTTCTTGCCAATGGGATTTTTTAAAGATTTCAAGGCCATAACTTTCCTAATAATTTTGATATGGAATAGGAGCTGATTTCAAGGCTTTGATTTTTCCTTTTGAGTCGGAACTGATTTCATTCTAAATTTTTTTTTTTTATGATTCTCTAACTCTTATGCATAAGTGCTAGCATTTTAGAATTGGAACTGACAATTAGCAGAAGAGTTAGAGAATTATGAAAGGTTTCAAGGCTTTGATTTTTCAAGGTGTTCTGTTTGGCTCTGTTGTTCTCGTCTCCTCCTCTGTTAATAAGAAAGGTTAATTAATTATTAATTAGTGCATGCAGTCTTCTTTTCTTTATGTATGCTAGCTAGTTAAATATTAGTTTACGCTTTGTTAGATGAGGTATTTTTTGTTTTCAACCCACTATGTGTCTCAATTTTAAACAATTGCACATTAACACTATGGTTACAATTTTATACATTCGATGTACCTATGCACCAATTATATATGTACAGTCGACCAAACCACATGTATGTGCTCAATTATTAAATTCGTCATAGAGTACAAGAATTTGAATTTGTTTTCACTAAATTCATCCTAGTGTCACATTTCGTAATTAATATTGATAAATTATGAACGTCATTAATATTTTCTACTATGTAAATGATTTGTTTGTCTCCATAATTTGTTAACATTGCACCCTTTTAAATCTGCCCCTCCCCTCGCCAATTCCTGGCTTCACCACTGTGTGTCGCTCATTTTATTTTACTTTTGCTCCTTAACACATCGTGAAAACGATATATTGATGTTTATAGGAACTAAATTTTTACCATAAATAGTACGTACAGTCCTCCTTTCATTTTTTTTAGAGCAGTTCCACCGGAGGTGGAATAGCCCAACACCCAGTCAAAAAACCAGGCTGGCACCTTGTCAATTCAGTCCAGCCCAGCAACTTGCCTGGCACCCAACCCAAGCTGGTCTCTGGGCCAGCCCAAAATTGACTGATTAAGGAGCCGGGCTATTTTCCTGGCGCGTGCAGCTCACTCGCGAGTGGGCGCGAGTAGGGGACAAGGGTGCAGGCGGCGGGGCCCGCTGTTAGCCCACTTGTGCTTCACCCGGAAGGAGGCGACGTGGCCCTTTCAATGCCGTTGGATTTCTAACGGCCAGTTTTTGTAGACCGTTGGATTTCCAATGGTAAAAAAAATTTAAATTTGACTTTTAAAATGGATCGTCCGATCACAGATCAACGGTCTACGTTTTTTTCACCAAAAATAAAAATAAAAAAATAAAAAAAGGCCCAACGGTCAGAATTATGACCGTTGGCCACGTGGCAGCGCCTTGGCTCTTGGATTTGAATATTTTTCAAATCCAACAGTCCAGATTAATTAATTATATTAAAAATTATGAAAAAATACAAAAAATTTGTAAAAAAAAAAAAAAAAAAAAATCTATAAATACCTAACCCTCATCTTCCACCTTACACCACATTTCAATATTTTCTACACTTTCTACCAAAGCTTTCATATACTTTTTGTGTGAAAAAAAATACCAAAAAGCTCATCCTTAATTTTTTTTGTCCATATAAACCATACATCCCTACATCCATCTTCATCGTTTTCAAATCTTGAGATCAAGTGGATGAGATCACGAGGATGGGAAAAACAACTGTTCTACAGTCCCTGATGCGGTTTTACTCTGCAATTAAAGCCCTGTACACCAATGAGTACCTCCGGACACCCACGCCAAGGGACATGCGAAGGCTTGTGAGGAAGGGTGAGATGCGAGGCTTCCCTGGCATGATTGGAAGCATCGACTGCATGCACTGGACTTGAAAAATCTGTCCAAGTGCGTGGCAAGAAGCTTATGGCGATAGAAAATGAGGCAAAAGTATCATTTTGGAAGCGGTGGCTTCATTTGATACATGGATTTGGCATGCTTTTTTTGACCGAAGATCTCGTGCAACACGAGTCGTTGGAACAGGATGGACGTTACAATGAATTGATCGCTCAACGGTACACGGATGTGCAAGAGCCATATTAGCACGTAACCCGCCAGAATGACTTGATTGAGCATCAATGGGGATTGCAAGAAGGTGAAGACAATTAAAATAAGCTTGTGGTTGAAGAATAAAGTGTATTTGATGAATTTATGTAATTTTATTTTAGTGTGTTTTTTTTTTTAGTTTATTTGATGAGTTTATGTAATTTTACTTTAGTGTGTTTTTTTTTTAGTTTATTTGATGAGTATGTAATTTTATTTGGGTGGTGCTATCTAGGGCTGGGTTCAGTTCTTATCGGTTCGGTTTTTTGCCAAAACCGAAACCAAACCGAAATTTCGGTTCGGTTCGGTTCGGCCCAAATTTTTTTCGGTTTTTTTCGGTTCGGTTTTTTTTTCGGTTCGGTTTCGGTTTTTTTTCGGTTTTTTTTTTTTCCTCCAAAAAATGCAAAACAAGCACAACATAATATAGGAATAGAAAATATGACATGTTTCCATCTCTACATATAAAGTCTCATAAAACTAAAAGTCTCATAAAACTTAAAGTCCAACTATAAATAGAATCAATCATCAATCAAGTTTAAGTCTTCAAAAAGTCCAAATTTAAACATCACACAAGTCAAATAAACCTTCAAGGTTTCATCACTTCATGTCTTGCACAAATAAAATCTTCCAAGTCTTCAAGCTCAAGCTCAACGCATAGGCGGCCTAGGAGGCAACATAGCACCTTTCTTTGAGCTTCCCCTTGCCATTTCTACATACAAATAAAAATAAAAATAAGAACATGACATAATTGGCACACATACTTGGCATAATTGAAATTTCAGATTATATTTTTGGCACACATACTTGGCATAATTGAAATTTCCAGCAACTATAGTACATAGTTACTAGCGAAGAAAACAATACCGATTGATGAAAATAACATCTTGGAAAATGCCTTCATCTCTCTTAGACCGATTCTCATAATTGCAGCCTGGTCATTCAAAATAAGCAGTCACAATGACATAGAAAAAGCAGATGAGATGTGGGTTCAACTTTTACCAAAATTTTTGAGCTTACCTTTGTGTTATTTCCCATCTCCAACCCATCCACAAAACCTGCTGCTATGGCCACAACATTTTTCAGGGTTCCACATAGTTCTACCCCTTCCACATCTTGGATCTATAAATTTCAAACACGGAAAGGTGTCAATGGAGCATTCCAATATAAATTTGATGTCAATCGCTAAATCAAATTATATGCTGGGATAAGCATTTAGCGTAGCTAACATACTACCAAATTTTTACTAAATGTGTGGGAAACTAAAGTAGTTCCCGTCCGTGCCAAACATTCATGATAGTAAAAGACTAAAAGTACACTATTATGACATTCATTGTAACAATGTATTCGATGTACTCACAGGTGTCATATATCCCATTCAGAGTGCAGTATGATATCCAAATCTAGGGAGACAAATTGGTGATCCATGGTGAAGGAAAAACATAAATGAACGCAAAGATTAACCACGGAAACAAGGGCCTAGCCATCAGTGCGTCTCCTACCGACAACCATATCGAACAATAGGCCCAAAAGTCAAAACCTTTTCGATTTTAAAGTATAATACTGATTCATGAAACTAAAACAGAGAATTGTAGCTAAGTGTGAGATAGGTAAACGCAAGATCTATAAGTTTAATCGACGAAAAACTCATTACAATTTTTGCAGATCCACAGTTTTTAAAGCAAATGAAAGATGATTTCTTCAAAATTCAGCTAAACAATCCCATTTCTACAACCCACAGAATGCAAATCTCAAATCATAAGATCCAAATTCGCAATTAAAAACCGATTCCAATCAGATCTACAGCAAGCAGTGAGAAACTACAAAGATCTACACATTCCAGCACACCCAAACAGCATCACAAGTAAATGAGCAACCTTTCTGAATCAAACACCGCAACACACAGAACCCAAATCGAATCATGCAAAAACAATATCGAAAAATATCCATAAACAAAAAAAATCGAAAACAACCCAATTGAGCAAAACCACGGAGCTCGACGAAATACCAAATGAGCAGAGCAGATGAATATTACCTCAGTCAATGTGAGGCGGGAGGTCGACGGCGGAGAGAGCGAGAGAGATCTTATGCGGAAGAAGAGCGAGAGAGAGAAGAGAGAGGATAGGGAGATCCTTCTCCTCCAGATCCGCCAATCGGCGGGCCTCGGACTTTCCGCGTGGCAGCCTCCGCCAGCTTCTCGGCTTCTTCCTCGCGCTTCTTGGCCGCGGGGGATTTGCTGATGAAGCATTCTCGTTGCAGCCATCCCAGGGAGTCGGTGACCCCCAAATCTTTCCTCGCGCTTCTTGGCCACGGGGATTTGCTGCCCTTCACCTCGCACCAGTACTACTCGTCCTTCTCGCGAGCCTCGCGTTCCTTGCGCTTGGCTTCGATGAAGCTCTTCACAGAGAGACAGAGAGAGTGAGAGAGATGAGGCTCGGCTGCGCGAGAAGGTTACTGGGCTAGGTTACACTGGACTGGAGGCAGGGAATGAGAGAGAGAAGAGAGGAATGAAAAAAATAAAAGGTGCGGCTAGGGTTAAAACTTAAAAGGTTTGTTGATTGCTCAAAAAAACTAAAAAACTTTTTTGAAACCCTGGAGGCATGAGGATTCGAACCCATGCGCAGGGACTTGAACAGTTTCAAGCAAACCAACTTGGTACCTGGTTATGTCTTGTTATGATTGTATCACTAAATTATTTATAATATTGAAAAAAAAATTAAATATATATATCTGTTCGGTTCGGTTCGGTTTGGTTCGGTTTCCGAACCTTAAAAACCGAAACCGAACCAGCCAGGTTCGGTTCGGTTCGGTTTGGCAGTTTTGGTTCGGTTTTTTTTCGGTTCGGTTTTTTTCGGCCTCGGTTCGGTTTGGTTTTCGGTTTTTTTCGGTTTTCGGTTATTTGAACCCACCCCTAGTGCTATCTGCACACCTATTTTTACCTCTCACACACCGTTCTCAATTTTCGACCGTGGGTTTGAATGAATTGAAGATGATCAATGAACAAAGTCTAACAAGGGTGTGTGGGAGGTAAAAATGAGTGTGTAAACAGCACTACCATTTTATTTTAGTGTGTTTTTTTTAAGTTTATTTAAAATTTTATCCGAAATTGGTTAAAAATCTTATCCGAAAATAAAACTATTTTTTTTATTTATTCTTTTAAAAAAATATAAAATATTTTAAATGAGCTGGGTGCCAGCACATTTTGTAGGGGTGGAGATCGTTTGTGCCAACGCATTTTTAGACTGGGTGCCAGCGCATTTTTTTAGGGATGAAGATGCTTTGGCCTATTACTGTTCACTGTGGTCTATTACTGTTCACTTGAGTTGATAAATGCATTAGGTGCTGGCGCAAAGTCTTTAGGGGTGAAATTGCTCTTAAAGGAAAGATCAAATACTCATTGCTATCCAAACCTATTATTGTATTGTCTTTTTATTATTTTTACCATGTGATGAAGAAATCCCGTCTTTTATAGCACAATATCGTTGTATAAAGAAAAACAATATACACAACAATTTAATGACAAAATATCCCTTTTGTGTTACTCTCTGCATTCTTCCTTTTCGATTCGATTAATTATTGGAATTAACAATATAATTAAAAAAAAATTGTTATTAGCATTCTAAAAATCTCATTTGGTAGTTCAAATTTTCTTTAATTAGAAAGAAAAATATACTGATCAGAAGTGTAGAATGAAATTTTTAGAATGCTAATAACAGTACCCTAAAACAAAAAAGCAACTTCATTTGGTGAAATTGACCTTGATTTCATTGTAACCTTCTAGGGTTTGGGTTCAAGTCCTAGACAAGGTAGGATTAGGGTTCCGAGGTCAAGGGTCGAGTCTAATTAAAGTCCAAAGATCATGGCCGTTTGGGATGAGAAGATCGATTTAATTTGTTCATTCAAAAATGTTTACATATGACATGAAAAATACTAATTATCTGCATACAGAAAATGATAAAAACAAGGGTACGTACAGATATAAAGAAAATGGCAAATAAAATAAATTATGCATGCTGATCCAGAAAAATAATTAAATCATGGATTAATATTTGTTTGACTTTTTCTTTAGCATGCAGTCATCGAATTAAGCAAGACCACGTACTCCCGCTCGTCATGCTTATCTTCTTTCCATGGGCATTTCATGACCAACTGATAAAAGTCAGAGATCATGTCAAAACTTTCTAAACGCATGCATATTCATATTCTTTAGATGCAACGAAACAAAACCAAGAGAAGAAAGGGAAAAAAAGGGGAAAATAACATAAAAGAAGATTCAAAATCCAAAATTGACACCTAATCAATATATGTGGTACCACAAAAAGCTAGATAGGAAGACAAGATTAGAAAAGTTGTGATCCTGAAAAGGACGCGAATTGGAACTTGGCTCGTAAGTTGGATTAATTCACACAGTTTCCCTTTTTTTTCCTTTTTTCTTTCAAGGAGACTGGTCTTTCTCTAGGGTTACATGCACTTCGTATAATCGTATTTCTTGAATCACGTCTTATTTTCCACGTGTTCCAAGACTTTATGTGCAACTAGATAGTACGGACCGTATTTTCTTCCAAACATTATAAGCAGGCGTGATCCTAATGAGATAAGGCAAAACCCATGTCTGAAAGCACAATCCTTGTCATTGTTTAATTGGTCAGACAACTCGTTTTCCAGTCGACTTGGAACGTTATCTACCGATGTTTAATTTTGTGAAATTGTGTGTCCCAAAATGATTTTTAGTGGACAAATTCAAGAACCACTTCTCTCGATTTTCAATGTCAAAAACACAAGTGAGGAAAAATGTCAATCTCATAGACCATTTTAGCTAAAAAGCCTAATATGACACATTGATTGAGATTCTCTTCTTGGTTATTAACTAATCAATGTTACTAGTTTAAAATATTTTTTTTTCCGGAACAACCGATATTATCTACACTAAGGGGGTGGGGAATGTTTAAGCCTCATAATGAGCTAGCAATAATGTGGTCTAAGTTCGCATTTGGCTATAATCGAAAGAAATATCACTAGACCGTGTATTCAATTGGGAATTTGAGAGATGTTAATGGATTTATAAATTCATAGATTTTTATGGAGTCTAATTGATTTGTAGAGATTCCAGGTAAAATTTTGATTCAATTCCCTCAAAATCTCTTTGAGAGAGGTGAGATTTGTGGATACTTAAAATACACTACAAAATCTCTCAAATTCCCTCTTTTTCCTCAACTTCTTCAAATTCTTTAGAACCAAATTCTAATTAAATACATCAAGAATATTATAAACTTCTTTAAAATCCTAATTGAATACACTCGGATTTCTAAGGATTTTAATAAACTATCTTAAAATCCTGATTGAATACACATTGAATTTTAGAGAACTATGTTTGGATGAGGGAAAAAAACTTGGAATTTTGGTAAAAGTTAGAATTTATAAATTAACATGCACCAATTCCCTTGTTTGGATTCATAAACATAGAAATTTAGAATTTCCGCGTGGAAAAAAAAACTTGGAATTTGGGATCTCCAATTCCCAAATTCAAATTCCATGTAAATAGGTGTCATTTCCCAATTTCTATGATTTAGAGTTTAAAAATAACAAATTCAGTATGCAATTCCATTGTTCTTTTAGATTAACCAAACAAGAAAATTTACAAATTCTTGAAAATAAAATCTTGTCATTTCAATTTCCGTTGTTTTAAAATTCTTTAGTAATCTTAAATTTCTTCATCCAAACATAGATTCTTGACTGAATACCCCTAAATTCATTAAAAGAATTAAAATCTCTCACCAATTGAATACACCTAAGATTAATAGTTTAGAATTCCTATTATAAAAATTCAAAAATAATAAAAGCAACAAACTTGCAGACATGAGTTTGTATGCATTAGTAGGGCCATACGGCATCCATGACTATCTAGTAGATAAAAAATATATATCAATTTTTTTTTTTGTCGAAAAAAAAAATATTATATAGTCATGATTATTCATAATCTCGTATCTTTGAGTTTATAAGAAGATAAATATTAAGAAAACTTCTCAAAAATAAGACTCTAGTTAAAATATATTTTTAATACATTTACAAATCTCTTAGCATTGCCCTTATAAGAAATATCCACACTGCACTTATGAGCTATGATATTAGGTAGCAAACAAATAGCATTGACAGGCAAGCACCGAATTTTTTGGTTGATGCCACGCAAGCACGCAATTTTTGGTTGATGCATTATGATTTGGGTTCTCACCCAAAACCTTAATCATAAAAATAACAAAAATGCTCTTCTTATCATATATTTATATCATTATTTGTATTATCTTTACTGGAAATCGTATATACGTTTTAGAGGACCCCACCTTTATTACAAAAATGATACAATAATAGTACAAATATATGGCAAGTGTATCATTACTCTAAAAATAATGATCATCAAATGATAGAATTCAAAAAAAAGAACAAGAAGGTTGGATCGTAGCATATACCCTCCGTGTAGAGTGAAGTAGAAGGATAAACAAACTGATGATTCATTCGTGTGTGTATATATATATATATATATATATATATATATATATCGGTCTACAATTTTGATTCCACACCTCCACCTCAAAGCTCTCCACAAAATATGAATCCAAAAATAAAATAAATTGAGGGGAAAAAAGCCTCCTTCACGAAAAGAAACAAAACACGTGCTAGTGATAAACAAGCAATAGGTGGTCCAATAGAAACAAATGAGATGGGTCAAGGAATGGGACTGATCAATGATCATGATCCATATATCTTAGTGCCAATGATCTTAATCCAAATTATTTAATCATTACCGATCACTAATTAGCATCTTTTCCGAAACATATCCATTGAAACTTAAAACTGCAGAAGCAGATGAAGCTTTTATCACAGTAACAGTATACAATCATATTTATGTATTTTTGTATGTATTTGATTCTTACCCATCTTTTAATAACTAATCATTTAACATATTAATGCTATCGTTTGTAAAAAAAAAAAAAAACTTAAAAAGTACAAGAAAATTAACAAAAGGACAAAAACTAAAAGATGTCATAATGTCATGTTGCTTTAAAATCAAATTTTCTGCACTTATTTTTTATGTGACTTTTGTGTGATCTCTCTTATTAATTGACATATGTAAGTTTATGATAACAAAGTTAAAAACGATTGAATTTATTAACTTGTCAATCAATTATAAAAATTATACACAAAATTGGTGTAAAAATTTTAAACTCTTTTGCGTCGATCTTTGGAGAGTTTGGCCTGGATGACATGGGAAGAACCACGTGAGTGCTTGCGTAGGCTTTATTAGATAAAACATGACTTGGTGGATCCCATTGCCCCCATTCTCCCGCGCATTATATCAAAAGTAGATTGTTCAATAATTTAATAGAAGAGGTCAGGATCATGTGACCTAAAAATTCTACGAGGATCCTCTTTTGAGGATCTTGAAAATTTTTAAATTGTATTCGTTCATCGTACATTGTATAGTTAGAAATTATTTTAAATACTTTTATTAAAAATTAAATATAAATAATACATGATGAAAATTAACTATATAATATACGATAAACAGACACAATTTAAAAATCTTCGGACTCTCACAGATAGAATCTAGAGAGGCTTCTCATTCCTAAGAATTGGCTTTCATCAATCAAGACATCACATCATGTGCTATCTGGTCCTACATCTTTTGTAACATAGTTTCGATGCAACTCAACGCATGATATTTTCATAGCGATAATGTTTTAATTATTAGATTTAAATTTTATAATTATTAAACTATTGTTAAAAGAAATGTCAAATCTTAAGTGTAATGTCCCACAATTCAATTTGAAAATAAGAAGAGGATTGCTAATAGTGAATAATTATTTTGATTTTGAAAACAGGACCAAAATGTAAGCAGTGAATTGTGGCATTTGACTTTATTTAACCACAAAATGAAAGATAAAAGGTTGAATTAGTATCTTCTTTTGGAGTTTGAAAGTTTGAAACCTTGAGCACTTGAAAACGGCCAAGTTCATCCCACCTTTCAAAGGGAAAATGATTATTAGCTTCGCTTAGGTTGGTCAAATTTGGAAGAAGAATTGCAATTGAGTTGTGGAAAATTTAATGTCTGAAGCAGAAAGGATATGATCAGATTACGCATTAAGTTTAGATAATTACATATATTATTACCAAACAATACTTTCAAAATATATATATTAATTTACTATATTTAGAGAAGCAATGACGCAAGGGCACCCTCACTAGACACTACCAAGTTCCATGCGACGACCACCAATAAATGAATAAAGGGATATGATATCCACACACCCCATTTTACTTCTCACACATCTTTTTAATTTTCGACCATCGGATCGGATGAATTGAAGAAGATCAATGGACAAAAATTATCAAAGATGTGTGAGAAGTAAAATAGGGTGTGTGGATAGCACACCCCTAATGAAGTCAAGTCATCACAAAGTTCCAATAGCAAAAAGCGCGCGCACACAAAAAAGCACTTAAACGAAAAGCATCTGTTGATTCTTGGATAAGAATAGACTTGTTAAAGTGGATGTATTATAGATGTAGGAAAATCAGATTGGATGTATTATAGATGTAGGAAAATCAGATCAGCAAATTAAGAGAGAGAGAGAGAGAGAGGGGGGGGGGGAATGATGTATCGAAATCACTTCCTGGTAGGATTTTGTAACAATTTGTTCTATTCTGATATGATTCTATGAAAGGATCAGATGCATAAGCACCGGACTAACATGAAAACAGTACAAAAACTTAAGGGTAAAAGACTGTTTACTATCCTCAAGTTTAGTGGTTTTCAACATTTAGTACATCAAGTTTTTTTCGTCTCAGAGTCATACCTAAAGTGTAAATTTTGGGACAGTCTCATACATCCGTTAGTCAAACTGTTAAGTCTTCAGTTAAATGTGACGTGGCGCCCATGTGGCCAATGATTGGGCGCCAGGTGGGTCGCCACGTGTGTCCACGTGTTTTTTTTTTTGTAAGATAGGGGTTTCAAATAAAAAAATAAAATAAAAATTCAAAATTCAAAAATCAAAAATCACGGCCCCCCATCTTCCCATAAAAGTGAAATAGTGAAAAAGTGAAAAATGAAACCGCTTTTCACTCCCCCAGAAAATCGCGACCCCCCATCTCCGTCCGAAACCCTACCGTCACTCGACCTCGCCGTCGCTCCACCTCACCGTTCGCTCGACCTCGCACGCCGTCGCTCCACCTCAAAATTCAAAAATCGCGACCCCCCATCTCACCTAGAAAAAGTGAAAAGTGAAACCACTTTTCACTCCCCAGAAAATCGCGACCCCCCATCTCGGTCCGAAACCCTACCCACGGGCTGTCACTCGACCTCGGCGTCGCTCCACGTCGCCGTCGCTGGACCTCGCACGCCGTCGCTCGACCTCGCACGCCATCGCTCGACCTCGCACGCCGTCGTATGTTGCGCACACGTTTCTGGGAAAGATTGTCGTGAAGCCATCGTTGCCGATGGGGTGGGATAAAAGGAGGATCGAAGTGGGTGAAACACCACTTTATCGTAAGTAACCTACTTTTTTCGATTTTTCAATTTTGAATTTTAGGGATTAAGGATCTGTGAGTTCCATTGGTTTTGTTTTCAATCGTGGTCCCCGTGGTTTGGTTTCAATTTTTCAATTGTTTGTCTTCAATCGTGGTCCCCGTGGTTTTGCTTTCAATTTTTCAATTGTTTGTCTTCAATCGTGGTCCCCATTGGTTTTGTTTTCACGTTTTTTTCTATGGTTTCAGGAAAAAAGGTGGAACTGTAACCATGGTCCCCATGGTTTTGTTTTCACCTTTTTTCCTCATGGTCCTACTAGTGTTTTCACCTTTTTCCCTGTGTGCTCCAGGATTTTATGTTGTTTTCACCTTTCTCCTTGACTTTGCAGGCATGCCCGAATTATTTAGCCTTAAAATTAACCACGGTGGGAAGTGGTCTGAAAGTGCATATACGGGAGGGTTTGAGGCTTGGTTTGATTATGTAGACAAAGACTTCATGTCTTTTTTCGAGATTGATGAAATGGTTAAGGAGTTAGGATATGATGGGTTTATGTTGTATCACTATAGGATTCTTGGGATGTCTTATTGTGAGGGATTAAGGCTTATTGAACGGGACCAAGATGTGAGTGAAATGTGCAAGCATGTTCCAGGGGTTAGGGAAATAGAAATGTACCTAGAACATCTAAGTCCGAAAGAAGCTGCCTTGAAACATAAGCTTTTGATGAATCTAGATGAGAGTGCCATATTAAAAAAAGGTGTCATTATAGAAGATATTGAGGAATCCGAGTGTGGCAATTTCGATTACAAAGGGAAGTGGATCAAAACTGAAGAAGGGTAGAGCAAAAGGGGGTGCGGATGACTTAGAAAAACGGCTATGTCTTTTGAATGACATAGCCTACAATGGTGATGATGAACATGAGGTTGAAGCAACTGAGGGAGGATAAGGAAGTGGAGATGAGGCTGAAGATGGTCCTCTCAATGCTGATGATGAAGGTGATAAAGGTGATGAAACTGAAGAAGGTCACGAAGCTGAAGAAGTTAATGAAGGGACCGAAGTAGAAGCTAATGAAGGTAAAATTTTTGAAACATTTATTTTTACAATTTTAATTTCAGTATTCAATTATTTTTGCAAAGTTTAGGTTTTTAACAAATATGCATTGTTTGTGGCAGTAAATGCAGAAGATGACACTACAGATAGTGAGTTTGTGGACAGTGACTACAGTTTGGAAGATGATGATCGTCGTCCAGTAGATGATGCGGCTGTAGAAAATGTCGTTAGAGATGCTGAAAGGGGTGAAGGGGTTGCTGAAAGGGGTGAAGGGGTTGGGAACCAACATCCAGAAGACATTATTGATGCAAGGGATGTAGAAGACGTTCCCCTTAATGATAAGAAACAAGACTCAGATGGCCTGCACAGTGTTGACGATTCAGGTTCAGAATGTGATGAGAAAGTCATCTACCCTGAGTTTAATGAAGAAGCCGACAGGGATGATCCAAAGTTTGAAAATGGATTAAAGTTCAGAGATGCTGCACAGTTGAGAGAGGCAGTGTGGTCTCACTCCATTAAGCACGGTGCACCTTTTATTAAGCTAAAAAGGAATGAGAAATGGAAGATTAGTGCAAGGTGTGAGAAAAACTGTCCATGGAGATTGTATGCTTCCAGGATGTACAATGAAGATTCAATCCAAGTGAAAACCTATGTTGGGAAACATGAATGTCCGAGGATTTGGAGGGAAAATCCTAACTGCAAAGTGGCATGGCTTGTGAAGAGGTATGTGGACAAGTTCAGACTCAACCCAAGCATGCCCATCACTACATTTGTGGAAATAGTGAAAGAAGAAAGAATGGTTGAGATCCACATCAAGACAGCCTACAGAGTGAGAGCACAGTGTTTGAAAATCATTGAGGGGAGTCACTTGGATCAGTACACAAAGTTGTGGGAGTACTGTGATGAGCTTAGGAGGACAAACCCGGGTAGTACAGTTTAGATGAAGGTGCTGCCCTATGATGATGCTCATGTGATATTCCAGCGGATTTATATTTATTTGGGGGCTTGCAAAAATGGATTTAAGAATGGATGTAGGCAGCTTGTAGGGTTGGATGGTTGTCACTTGAAAGGAGTGTTCAAGGGCCAGTTACTGTCTCCAGTGGGAATGGATGCAAATAACCAAACTTGGGTTATTGCATATGCTATAGTAGAGCTCGAGAACAAGGACAGTTGGGTTTGGTTTCTGGAACTGCTAGTTGCTGACTTGGGAATTGTGAACCAGCGTGCTTGGACTTTCATTTCTGACAAATAAAAGGGTTTAATACCAGCTTTTGAGAAGGTGCTGCCTAATTGTAATCATCGGTTCTGTGTTAGGCACTTATACACTAACTACAAGGCAGATGGGTTTAAATGGAAAGGATTAAAGGATGCCTTGTGGAATGCTGCCAAGGCAACAACCATCGCTGATTTTAGGAAGAGTATGGCTGAGGTGAATAGGCTGAATGAAAAAGCTTATAAATGGTTGGAGAAGAGACCAGCCTTGCATTGGAGTAGGTCACACTTTGACACACACACTCAGTGTGACATTCTGTTAAACAACCTCTGTGAGAGCTTCAATTCTTTTATCCTAAGGTCTAGGGACAAGCCTATTATTACCATGCTGGAAACTATAAGAGTTTTATTGATGAAGAGGATATGGTTGAGAAGAGATGCAATGAGGAAGGATAAAGGAGCTATCTGCCCAAAAATCCAGAAGAAGTTGAAGGAGTACAAACTGAAAAGCTCACACACTGTAGCTACATGGTCTGGAGGAGAAAATTTTGAAGTGGATGAAGGCAGAGGCAATGTATTTGTGGTGGATTTGAATGGGTGCACTTGCTCATGCAGAAGATGGGATTTGACAGGCTTTCCTTGCATTCATGGTTGCTCGGCCATCTATTATGCAAGGAGACAGCCTGAGGTATTTGTTTCCTCTTGGTACAAGAAGGAGAAGTACTTTGAAGCTTACGAAAACTTGATTCAACCCGTCCAATGCATGAAATTTTGGGAGCCATCTGAAAACAAATGCATTCTGCCTCCAACTTTTAAAAGGCAGCCGGGGAGACCAAAAAAGATGAGACATAAGGAGGCTGATGAAAATGAATTCAAGTTAAGCAAGAGAGGGCAAAAAAGTGTGAAATGTAGTGTTTGCAAGGCCTCGGGACACAACAAGGCCAGATGCCCTACCACTCATCCTCCTCCAGCTGCTAGAAAAGGAAGAAAAAGCAAGAAAAATAAGGTATAATTTTGATATTTTTTGTTAATTTTTCATTTCTTAAGTGAATTTGTTATTTGTGAAGTGTACTATCTGTCAGTGCTAATGCTATATGGGTTCATTACTTAGGCCTCAACATCTAAGGCATCACAACCCTCTCAGTCATCTCAGCCATGCACTCAGGAAGCTCCACAACCTTCATCTCAGCCAACTCAAGCCTCTCAAACCATTTCAAAGTCTACTGCAAGAGGTCAGAAAAGGAGGAGGAATGTTTCATGATGCTGCTTTAATGCTTTAGGTTGTTTAAGGGTTCGTTTTGTTATAGTTGAATATGCCCTTAGTGTTTTGGACAGTTTTTTTGACAGATCTTTAGTGTTTTTGGAAGAACACCTTGACTTTGCAGATTTGGAACTTTGTTGTGAATTGGATGGTGTATATTGAACTTTGTTGTGAATTGAAAGTTGTTGAGAATTCAACTTTGTTGGTAGTTTAAATGATGAATTTGCATATTTAGAATTCAAAGTTTGTTTGGAATTGAATTTGCAGATTTGGAACAAAAAGTTGTGGTATTTTGCAAGGTGGTATTCAACTTTGTTGATTTTTTTTTTCAAAAAATTATGGCGGGAAAAAAAGTGTAAGGTGCATGGTTGTGGGAAAAAAAAATTTGGCGGGAAATTTTTTTTTTTTGTTTTTTTATCTGAAACCCCTGTCTTACAAAAAAAAAAACACGTGGCGACCCACCTGGCGCCCAGTCATTGGCCACATGGGCGCCACGTCACATTTAACTGAAGACTTAACAGTTTGACTAACGGATGTATGAGACTGTCCCAAAATTTACACTTTAGGTATGACTCTGAAACGAAAAAAACTTGATGTACTAAATGTTGAAAATCACTAAACTTGAGGGTAGTAAACAGTCTTTTACCCAAAACTTAAATACTGAAGAAGTTTTCTTCAGAATATTATAGACGTTGAGAGCAGCGTACAATTACACCTTTCACAATGACGAAGACTACAAGAACGTAATACTGGTGAAGTTTTCTCCCATGGATTACACGAGGTACATCAGAATTTGAAAAACATCGACCCAAGGCATGAATGCCCGCTAAGCTGTCAATGTTCGACAGCATACAAGTACAAAGAATCGAATGATTTTAGCTTATTTGTATTGTATTTGATCATATTCCATCGCATTTTTAAGACTGCCATCTGATAAAGAATGTATATAGCAACAACGAAGATATATCCAACTATACTTCCAAGCTGTGCAAGCCCTCTGAACTTCGGTGCGCGCCTTCCAAATTACTAGATGAAAAGGCTTCAAATTTTCCTCTCTGCAGATGCTCAAGGAAATCCATGACGACCGGATCAGTCCAAGGTGCTCCAAATGGAGCTTCAGCACCTGCAACCCACCCTAGATGGCCACCTTTGGGTGTCACTATCAACAAGCAGTTTGGATTGTCCTGACAAAACAGTAATGGATGTACTATATTAACATGCTGATAGTATATAGGAGATCATCAGAAATATGTCAGAAATATTCTTCACAAGCAGAGGGAACACAACAGTATGCCAATCCATTTGATGCAAGTGATCTATAATGAAGATAACCTCTTTTCTAAAAAAAAATTTAAAAAAAAAATTCTAACAATCCCAAGCAGATGGGGTCCGTTGAATTTTTGTAAGAAACAGGGACTCCCTAGTCATTTCATTTTCAAGGGTATGCTCGGTCTAGAACAGTCCGTCCACGGCATACTACCCTAAACCCTATCACGTTACTTAGTATTTCAAAAATTTGTGGTTTATCTTGGTGTATAAGGCATTACACATGCCAAGTTATATTGGAAATAACAAAATACAAGATCTATAGGAGAAATAACAAATAAACCACTAATCCCTGTGTTTGGATGAGGGAGTTACTAAGTATCAAGGAACTCTATACTCGATTGTCAAAAATGCAATACAAGAACACTACCAATGAACTACTCAAGCAGTACAAAGCCACTACTAAAACATTAAAAAGCAGAATTCCAAATGACGCCTTTCAAGGAGTCATTCGGAAGTTCTCTCATATGTATTGCATCTAGTCACTTCCAAGTCCCTCTAACTTTTCTGGAGCATTCCAAATAAATATTGCCTCAGTTTCATGGAACTAGGCCCTCATCCAAACGTTAAGTAAAGTTTTAACATAATTTAGGGAATATTGTCTTGGTCATGAGACTCTACAAACCTTGATATCCTCACGAGGAATTCCCCTATTTGGAGCAATTGGATCATTTTCCGCCTGAAACCATAAGAACAGTAAGTGTAAGAACATTTGAAATAACTGAATACAATTCTAGTTATGCCGCTCATGCAATCAAAATAAGAACACTGTTTTATAGAAAGGACATTAATGTAAAGGATGGATGAGGTAAGTCATGACAAAGGAAAGTAGTAGTTTGTCCTCTTCTTGTTTCGAAAGGATACGCAGTGATAGAAATATAATATAAAGCTATGGATTACCACTATTACGTCATAACTTGTGCTTATTATGCTCATCAATCCCTCCACCAATCACCAATCTATTCATTGTTAGAGGGAGAGATTATACTGGGCATGGAGGTTCCTTATCCCTCTATTTTTCCTTTCACTCAAACAAGCAACTTCAAGGATTGACAACCTCCCTCCCATCACTATCTTTGCATCTTTCCTTCCCTCTCTCTTTTCTATCATTCCTACCAAACTCGGTATAGAAAACACCACTGAATAGATATGCCCAGGCTCGATATGTCTCATATTTCTTATAACTAGTCCACTATAAATTCAACCAGAATAATAACAAAAGAGCTTTTGGAATCTACACACACCAACATCTGCTAAGAGGTTCATAAAATGTCTATTAACCATATGAAATGTTCGAGAGTAAGATTACCTGAATGCAAAGCAATGGTGTGCAGACATCCTTTATGGAATTTGAACTACTGGAATTAGAGTAGTAGTCATCTACTGACTTGAAGCCAAATGAAACTGCAAGTTCTCATTGAAGGTGTTCTCATCAGATGAATGTCATGTTATCCCATCTGAAATCAAATGGTTTCATGTACTCAATATACATACCACGAGTTAGTCCGTCATCAAACTCCCTGACGGTCTTTGCATTGGCAGCCAATGGAATATTATACTCACCATCCATGTCTTCAAAAAGTAGAGCATGCCTACAATGTGTGCCATGAAATTGGGTTATTTATCAACCTCAAGCTGAAATATAAATAACGGTTGAGAACATAATTTAATATTTCATGACATTTACTTCTTGAAAATTTTGCAGAGTGAACTTGCAAGAGCTTTGTCATAAACATTATTAAAGCCCTTATGGAAGTCCTCGTCTGCAATGACCAAATTGAAAGGATTACACAACGAGACAGCACCAGAAAGACGGCATGCATTAGATTCCTGCAGGTACCACATCATTGAATATAAATGAAAAGAAAGTGGAGAAAGGGATAAGAAAATTCCAGTGCAAAATGTATGTCCGTGTATGCTAATTTTTATAACTGAAGATATAATATACTCCTCTAATAGAGAATGTAGCCATTGGAAATTCAAGGTCATATAAGATTGGTATTAGCTCTATATTTATATCCCTTGTGCAGAATGCATGATCAACCAAATCCAACTTGTACAACATTCTACAATTTAATGGCCATGCTGTATCAAGATAAAAGCTTGTTTCTTTTCCTGCCAGACACATATAAGTTCCCTTTTTGCCAAGCATTAATGGATTCCGTTGAGCAGAAACAACAGCTTGTTACAACAAGATAAATTGCTAAATTACTGCCTTGTTAAAGCTAATCAAGATTACCAGCGCATTAGACCTACTGCACATATGCAACGTTAAGTAAGCAAGAGCGCACACACTGAACAATTGTAGTGCAAGTCAATTGTCCAAACGAACAAACAGTACAGAAATCCTAAAAGTGATTGGTCAATGACAAAGTATACAGCCAGAACGTGAGAGGAAATTAATGAAGTTACATTCTACCTGACCCAAGTAGCGAACGAGAATGTTAGCGCCAAGAGACCAACCAACAGCATACAGATTAGCTTTTGGATACCGAGTACCAACATGAGCCACTACTTCGCACATATCTCCTAAAAATGAAGCCGAATAGAACTGCATATCAGCGGCATAAGATAACTAATCACAAAGCTGGCTTAACAAACACATCAAAAAGTTCAAATCTTCAGCATAAAACTCCCATCAAAGAACCAAAAAACAATCTGAATTCGAAAACAACCCCATTACAACAAGTATCAATCCTGCCAATTGTAAACAATGGTAGCAAAAAATGTTAATTGGGATTATAAATTTAAACACAGAGAATCACGAATAGGGTACAATTGTAAAAATAGAAAATTGATTGGGCCAAAGTGAGAATACCTGAGGAGTTGTCACAGGGCTGCCGCCGCAACCGCGGCTGTTGAACACCACAACCCGCCACCCTTTACTTTTGGCGCGAAGCAACATGTGCCTGACATACGAGTCATCACTCCCTCCAGTTAAACCCGGCTGCAAAAACACCCATTACCCAGAATCCAAATTCAACTTTTAACTCAAAAGCTTTGCGCTTTTTTCATTATTGTAATTTTTCCCCGGAAACAAACAGGAAATAATGTAGTCAATTCCATCACTTTAAAATGCTCTTTAACTCCAAATTTGACTACAACCCTTAAAGGAAGAGAAATGTGAGAGCGAACGAACCAGGAGAATGACGAGAGGGGAATCGAGGGGCAAGAGGCGGTCGTCGCCGGAGACCCAGTCGAGGGCGACGGCGCCGTCGTCTGCAGTACGGAGGCACTCTCGGCGAAGCCTGACGTCGGGAGTGGACCTGTAGAACGAAGCGAATATGGTCTCGACGTGGCGGTTCGACCCGATTACGGGATACGGGTCGTAGGGTCGGGTCAGGGTGGTGAGGACGGGGAGGAAGAGGTCGCGGGCGCCGCCGAGGATTTCGAGGGACGGGTGGGCCATGGGGGCGGCGGATGAGGTGACGGGGAGCGAGGAGAAGGCGGAGAGGCGAGTGTAGCTGTGGAGATGGGACACGTGGCGGAAGTAGGAGAGAGGTGGTAAGTAGCCCAGGGAGGCTCTGGCCATTGGTTGGTTGGTCTTGTATGCAGCGGATAGCTTGAGGAGTGGCTTTCGGAAAGACAACAAAAAGTGTTTCTCTCTCTTTTACTATTTGGCTATAAACGGTTAAATAATAATTATATTAAATAAATATATTTACATGAATTATATATGATAATTATATAACGATTTTTATTAAATACATATAAGTATTATAGTTAATTTTGTAAATCGAAGTTTTAATTTTAATGTTTTGTTAACTTTAAGCCTCCATGCACTGGTGGCCTTGACCGCGAAATGACTTTAATGATGCCGGTATATCACCGTTTTCTCTTCCTCCATCATCACATTGATCATGTAAACTTATAAACGAGGGCTTTGAAGTAAAAAGCAATTTCTTGTCATGAGTACATTAGTAACTTAATATAAAGCTTCACATATGGAGGCTTTGAAAAATATAATATGCATCACATTAATATAAATATGATTATTAAAAGTAACTTTCTCTAATCATCCAGTCTCATTAATCGGCATCATATATATGCTACTGAAATCTCAATCTGAATTTGTATAGTTTCGGCTAGGTTCAAAATGGATGAATACCGTAGCTTACCATAAATTATTCTCTTTTTTATTAAATAAAATAAAAAACATAACCTAACATAATAAAAAATTAAAAACAAAAGTACCCCATAAATAGTTATTTAACCATATAATTAACTGACCCTCTCAAATTCATCTGAATAAAACCTCAATTTTAGTTTCCTTAATTTCATTCGTTAACCTTCTCCAAATACTTTTGCTTCTCTCCTCCGTCATGAACGCAGTCACCGGAAAAGACTTCCCGATCCCCATCGGAGTCTTGAAAACGATCTTCTTCCCCACCGGATCCTCAACGCTCATCTCAGATATCGGGACCCAAAGAAAAACCTGCTTGCTCTTGATCCCTGTCATCTTCTTCATCCTGCACTTCTCCACGTACCCAGTCACCTCAGTTGCGTAGCTGACACGCGTGTTGGACCCCTCAAAGAAGTGCTCGTAGGGTTGCTTCTGCTTCATCCACACGAACCCAGTTTCTCTGACCCTCCCGCACTCCACGAGGTCCTGCAGGGGGAGGACGCCTTTGGGAAACCCTAGCTCTTCCAGTAGGTCTATGGACTGCCGGTAGCAATCTTCGGGGCCGTACACGATCTCCGCCCCGGCACGCTGCTTGTCTTCACCAACAATTTGCTTGCCACTAGCCATCGTTGGAGGAGCGTCGCGAGTAAATTTGATATTTTTCAGGAGTGTTTGGAAGGAGGGTTTGAAGGTTTGGAGCTTTTAGTTTATTGGGTTGAATTAATATATGGGAAGAGTCATTAAGAAAAGGGCTTCAAAGGCGTTGGATGGAAGTTGAACAGAATAAGGGTTCGGAGAGGGAGGTGGGTTGTTCACCAAATGGACATTGAGCTTGTATCATTGTTCCGTGCGGTGCTCTCACCTAGTACGTGTTTATGGTGATAATGGACTTATAATAGAGGGTCGGAGACACGTTGATGACACTAGATTCACCTCATATCATATCGGAGAAACTCTTAATTTCGACTAAAATCAATCATTTTCGTCGATATTTCCGACGTATCGGTTAAATGTTAACAAACTACTATATGACATTTCTTAAAGTTTCATTTTAAATTTCTACATTTTTAAGCAAATTTTTATCATTTCTATCTAAAGCAACCGATATCAATATATTTATCGGTATTTTCACAAATTTGCATATTGATATTTCCACCGATACCAATATTTCAAGGGAATTTTTATTGGCACTCCAAAAATTTCATTTTGCACTCCAAACATTCTATTATTAGAAAGAAAATTACACTTATGAGGAGTGTAGAATGATATTTTTAAAGTGCTAATAACAATTTCTTATTTCAAATACTAATAATAATAGAATTCACTTGTAGTAGAGAGAGTGCTAGCTAGCTTATCAGTTTTAAGTGTCCAAATAATTTGGTAAATAATAGAAGGGTTAATTGCTGACAACTTAGGTAAAGAAAAGTTAGCTTTTGCTCATGTATATATGGTGTGCTTACTGGTTACCATTAATTTAGTGTTTCTAAAAAAGGAAAAGACCTTGCCACGGTTTCACATGGTTTGGCGTGTTGGATGATTATACTTAGCTACATCTAAAAGTTGATCTATAGGATACCAAAGTCAAAACCTCACGGCTCGAATACATCCTAACAAATTTTAAGAGTTATCTTGTGTCATCTTTAACCGAAAAGATTAAATATAATCTCGTCTAGAATTATAGTCATATAAAAAATTATTTTTATATGAACAGCATCAAGCTATTCTTATACCATCTGCAACGAACTGGACATGTTTTCTTGCCAAACTTATGCTGCCAAAATCGTACTCGCGTTCCCAAACAACTTAGTAAGTGAACATATAACACGCTTCACCAATTATTGGCCACTTCTGAATCTACCTATCTACCTAGTGTATTTTTCTCTTGTGAGATGTCATCGGCATATATATGGTACCGGTAAACAATCTAGAAATAAGATCTTAAATAATATCGAATGCAACCATATAACGCAAGTCATCTCATTTTGGTAATATCTGCTGGTGGAGAAAGTCTTAGGTTGGGCATCTGGACCACAAGTCCGTCGTACATTAGACTACCACCTCCAGGTTCTGGACGGAAGAATTTCTCCTGCTGGTGACTAGAAGTTGAGAGAACCTTTAGGTGTCAATTTGTTTGAATGAATTTTGATCAGATGTGCAAAAATAGGTGAAATTTTGCCAAGCGTAACATTCAGTGCTGAAGTTTAGGTATAAGTTTGGAGTAGAACCACACAAAACTTGACAAGGTTCGATGATCTTACGCAGTGGATATTCCGTACCTGAATATCTTGGTCAAGTCACAACTGCGGCAACTTTGAGTGTTACTAGCTACAAAAATACACAGATACGAATATGAAACCTCCGATTAACAAACTATAGCTTTCTCCGCAGTTAATAGTTACTTATGTATATCTAAAGACAAAAAAATCAATTACGATAAACAAGATAAGATATGAACAGAAAATCGAGGTCAAGATTTATTCCTAAGGAAACGCCATCACATAATAAACTTTTCCTTAGAAGAGAGAGAGAACAGAGCAATCAATTGTTGCGAACAACACAAGAAGCCGGTATCAACTAGTGCTTGTCCTTGGGAATATCCTTTGGTGGAACCTTTGATTCCAGTTCCTTGGTGATTCTGAGAGAAAATCCATGAAGTCGTATTAAGATGCAAGACCACTAACAAAAATATATGAAAGCAGAGTACATTATTTCCATGATAATAAACATAAAACGGCATATCACAATTCATCGAGTCCTCAAGATCACACTTAAAAAATATCCCTACGCAATCATCAATGTCCACCGTCCAGGTTTGGCTGGACAATGATTTGTACACTGCACCAGTGTTTGATAACAAATCATTCTTGGTTTATCTTAAAAACCATGGACACAAAGAATAGAACCAAGTAATACGATAAATGAAAGTCTTTTATGATCTGCCCTTCTATATGAGGGCTGATTCCAAATTATAGAAACTAATGCCCTGCTCCAACCAAAAGATCGAGACAAGGGTAATACTGAAAAGCTAAGATAAGAGAGAAAAGGCATTGGAGATAGTATCATTTGAAAGATGCCTAGTCATTTAGGTAACACAGTACATCTAAGGCTTCCAAAAGTAAACCCTTCAAACCCCCACCAAACACGCATCTCTCATACAGGAGGTCAAATTTCACACCATTACTTGCTAACTTACTAAACCATCCTCTTTTCCAACATCAAGACAAAACAAACGAGAATGGTACATGATAACATCATAAATCTTCATCCAAAATCTGAATATAAAGCATCCAGGTGTAGCAATCTGCTGAACGTTGACACTTATCCATGTTAAGAGTGACACGGGGTTAAGCTGAACCAGTTTCAAGAAACAAATAGAATTCAAATGAACAGCCAAATTAAATTTTGACTAAATTGAGTACCTACTTGCACACTTACAAACAATTTCATAGTGAACATATTTTACAGAAAAACAAAACGAAAAAAAGAATGAGAGGAGGATTACTTGGGCGATTCTTCCTCAAGCCAGGTGCGGATGTGTTTGACATTGCGCTTGAAGATGGAAGCTGATTGCCTGACATCACTCCTCAGCATAAGAACCACCGCGCCTACACCAGCAACTGTCAGTATGAAGTTTGTCAAAGCCATACTTCTTCTGCTTCTTGCAAAACCTAGTTCCAAGACAAACGAAGGAAATGATTCCGCATTCAATCCACTAAATGTAATTCAAAACATATAACCCAGGTTTTAGCTAACTTAGCCAAAAGGGTGGATATTCATTCGCAGAATATTGCGATTTCGCTATCTTTTCAAGTGCCAAGAAAACTGTTTTACAAAAAATGATATAAATATGTAGAAAATTGGACATTTTAATTATCGAAACAGCTCAGGAAATAAAACCCAAGTGAGGATTAATTAAAATCAAGGTCCAGACTTGATCCTAAACATTCTTTCCATTCAAGCAACGTCAAATATTCAAATCAATAATTCAAAATTTTGAAACTCAAATTCGCTTCCCAACTATTTAAACACGGAAGCCAAAGTCCCCATCTCAAGCCCAGTCAGTAGCCATGGCCACTGAGTAATTAATATTATTCTTCTTATCTTAATATAATCTTAATCTGAATCAAATCACAAAAACCACCAAAAAAAAACCCTTAAATCGGCAACAAAATGTAAAATTGGATTCAGAAAATCAAATTGTAAATATAAAAACAGAAATTAAATATGATAGTGAGCGTGAAATTACCTAAGAGAAGTTCGGACGGTGAAGTGGTAAACTTGGGGCTGCTCCTTGGCGGGTGGCTTCGCGGGAAACTGAGACGGCGGAGCGAAAATGTGGTGGTGGTGGCGGAGAAGAGGGATTCTGAATCTCTGCGAGTGAGAGAGCACCGAAGGTTGCGGATCAAGTTAAAATATGGGTTTTGGGTTGTCTTGTTATTTGCATGGACCCAATAAGGCATTTGGGTTTTTGTTGTTAATGGACCTACACTGGGTCCAAGTGCCATTATACTTGGGTTGTTTCTTCAATCCTCTCAATTTGTCCTGCGTACCTTCGGTTCCAGCTTGAAAATGCATACCCAAAAAGCACTTATGCTTGAAAGCGATTTTGATAGAAGCAAGATTATTCAAGAGTTTTTTTTTTTTTTTTAAATTATCTAGAAGGATTTATTGAAGAAGCTAGATGCTTCTACTGAAAGCACTAACGAGTTCTTTCGTAATCTATGAACATTGTTAAGAAAGAAAGCCCACAAGTTAAAGTGAAACGAATTTTAAGTTTAAAAGTTTTAAATTGTGACTTTTGAGTTACAGTAGTCAAAATGAGATTAAAATCGAGTTTAGGGGCGTAACTAAAAATAAGCCTTAATTTAGTTCTATGTTTTTTTTTTGTCAAAATTAGTTCTATATGGTGGTTTGTCTTACTTGTAGAAGGGTTGTTGCGGTAAACCACACATAAAGCAATAATATTAGGTATCAGACTTGTTATTTATACAGAGATATGATTCCACACACCGTTTTAACTTTTCACAAACTTCTTTTGATTGGATTTTGATCCTCTCCTGAGCCAATGGAGAGGATCCTCCTGACCAACCATTGTGGGCCGTTGGATTTTCATCCAACGGTTATAATTATTATAACTTTAAAAAGATCCCCTTGTTTGTAACCGTTGGATAAAAATTCAACGGCCCACAATGGTTGGTCAGGAGGTTCCTCTCCATTGGCTGAGGAGAGGATCCAAATCCCTTTTGATTTATGACTATTGGATAGAATAAATCAAACAAAAACAATGAACAACGTCAAACCAAAATATGTAAAGCGTTAAAAAGAGCGTGTTTATCGTCTTCCTTTATAAAAATCGATTCCATATAATCTAAACTACATTAAAATCCTCTTTATCAACCAAAAAGAGGGTAAAAAGATAATTTTATCTTCTACCACAAAACAAAATCATTGGCAGTAAAGTAAATTCACACAAACTATATTTCATCTTTTTTTTTTCAAAGCCTCACTCAAGGGTGATCATAACATCCTCTAATTTTGAACAATAAAATATAAAAAAGAAAACTTCACTCTCTAATCCACATTTCTTTTTTCTCCCCTTTCTCGTTCTCATTTTAAAATAAAAATAAAAATTATTTTCACGCACAAAGTGTGGGGCATATGCTAGTGAAAAATGAAGATAAGGAAGAATCTATCGGTTCTAAAAAAAAAAAAGTTAAAGAAGATTTTCGCCAAGAAACCTAACATGTAAAATCTTCCCAAAGAAAGGGAGTGATGATAGTGGGTTCGGAATCAATGGCTTTAGTTTTGGACTATGAACATCAACCAAATTCCCACCACATGCACCAAACTTTGGTGCTTTCTTGTCTCACAAGATCTCCTTTTTATCCTTTTTAAATCTACACTTTCCCTACTATCATAATTAATCTTTCAAAGCAATTTTTTGGCCAATTACTCCCATTTTTTTCTTCTCAAAATTAGCCACCTATGTTTTGCTTAAATTTTGGATTTGGTTAAGTGTCTCCAGCACAATCGTAATTTTACAATGGACTCTGAATACATGTAATCACTTATATATTTTCTTACACATAAGATAAATTCAATTACGTTTGTGACAGTTCGAAATCTGAATGTTCAAGTTCATGATTTGACTCTTACGAGTTACAAGTCACGCATAAAGTAAATTTATAATCACTTGTTGGATCAGTTTAATTTCACATAACATATTTCACAAACATGTTCATGGTCAAGAATCAACAGTCCTCTATTTTCACATGTATATAGTCAAGAGTTCGATTTGCTACTCGCTTATAGTGATTAGTGTGCCATAATAATCTGAATAGTTTATGACGCGTTTAATGCATCTTCATACTCCAAACGGTTATTCGTATACTAATACATTTTACCAACCTGACTTCTTCACAATCATAAAATCAAAATCACTTCGATACTCTTTTCAATTACAAACTTACAAAATCGTGTTACCCTGCTTAATTACAACCATGCATTATGTTATTTATTTACAAGTCCAAGCTACTCTCCACATGAATAAAAAGATTAAAAGTGAAAGCAAAAAAAGTTGAAAGGGAATGGATCAAAATCTACCCAGTCTGATATTCTTCTTGGAACAATCGCCTAATTTAAAGCCTAAAGCGAGTCGGTGGTTGTCTCAGAATCTCTTGTCTGTGTGTCCCAACAAAAGACTTGATGGTTCAATTGGGTCCCACCACAAAACTTACAAGCAGGGGAGAAATTTTTAGTTGATCATGAGTTTGGTCATTGTAATCTGGACCCTTGGTCACTCGCGGCATCATCCTGAAACCTCCACATTTCTTGTTAAACTTATATCATTTGATCTTCTTTAATCCATCCGATTTGATTACAAAAAATAAAAAGAATGTGTGAGAAACAAAAAAGAGTATGTGAATAGAACGGAGGCAGATTGTCTGCCCTCCTGTTTGGGTGTCATTTCCATCCTTTCATATTTGTGTGGTCACAGTTAAGTCACGTAAACATTTTATATTCTTATTATTTTTTGTTTTATTATCTCTATAAAAAAATTAATATAAAATGTTGATTTGGTTTAACTGTAACCGCACAAAATAGGAAATGATGAGAATGTCACTCAAACAGAAAAGCAGACAATTCTATTATTTTTTTGTTTACAAAATCATTTCAATTATTTTTTTTGTTAAAAAACTAATTTCTCTTATTAGTTTGTGTACTTTCCTACCGGCCTACCTATTTTTTTTTCTTTTTTAATAAAACGGGCCTATCCCTTGCCCAGAGATATAAAATGGATCAGTCAACTGGTGTTATTAAATTATAAATTACTCAATTAGTTTAAGCATAAAAGAAAATATTTCAAGACTATATATATAATATAAACTTATAAAGGAAACATGTAATCAATTGGCATTACAAAAGAGCAAAGACGAATACCAAGGTCATAAGAAGAGTTTGGTAAGTGAACTTGTAATAAAACACGATATTAAAATAACTGATTGTATGAATTAGCTGAGCCGATTCTAAGCTTACAAGTACATATTACACGTTAAAGACCGGCATCAAATAACAAATGATTTTATAAGCTCTACCAGTTCCCTACTGTGCATATAAAGTAACAAATACCAAAGCGATACACGCAATTCCAGATACAAATTGAATGAAATTTGCATCACACTAATTCAAGGTACATATTAAAATGTATAAACATCTTTTGTTATACTTGTTCTTTTCTTCCTAATATCAAAATATGTCCCCAGTTCAAATCTATATGATAAAAAAAAACTAATATATTTATTATTACAATGTCTAATAAAGTCGAAAATAAATGAGGAAACTCCATTGTGACATCCCATGATTCATGTGATACTTTTAAGACACTTGAGTGCTTTTGTCTCGCCATTGTCTCTACAAAATGTGCACTCATAAGTTTATACCAATATATCATTAAAATCCCACGTCCATTTTCTATTTCTAATTTCTAAATTGTGTGCCATGTGAGCTAGTTCCATATTATATAATCCCACTTAATTATAATTACAATAATAATAATAATAAATAATATTGATCCCAACTTGTCTTTTAACTTTTGCATATGGATTCCCGATCCTTTTTGTGAGGATCCCGATGATCTATGAATCTTATTTGTTCATCGTACATCGTGCAGTCAGAAATCATTTTAAATGTTTTTATTTAAAAATAAACATAAATAGTACTTGACAAAAATTGACCGCACGATGTACGATGAATGGACACGATTTACGGATCTCTAGGATTCTCGCCAAAAGGATATGGAGAGGATCATGTTCGTTGCATATGCTTATGGAAGTAAATCACTTTTTAGAGGCATGCTAGTGGATGGACAATGAGACCAAAATAGTTTCAGGACCATTTGAAGTCCGAAAAATATATATGTGAAGGTCTTACGAGGAATTTTCAAATGTTTATTACATATTCTTTTCGTGCCTATCAAGTATTTGATGCAATTTCTGTTAGGCATATCTCGACAGGTTGCGTCGACAAAATTTGAAAAATTATCTTTATATTACTCATTAGATTGGATCGACATATGTCTATATCTGTTGACATGTGCGCAATATTATTTGACGATAATAAGCCCACTAAGTGTTCGACGAAATGCCCCAGTAAATAAACTAAGACTTTTTTTTTTGCGCTCTTCCCGCTCAGTTTCTATCTTAAAGACTTGTATTTAACACTAAGACCCTCAAGCTTTGATTCTTAGATCCGCCACTGCATGCTACGATGAAATATCTCAATTATATTGTTTGATACTTAATTCACATTCTAAAGTTCCATCATCTGTAAGGTTGGTTGATGAAATGGCTGCCGGTCAAAACAATTTGTACAAAAGCGCTCTGGAATATAATTGATGAGTCGACCGCTCTATAAATACGAGCAACCAACACTGCATCGGAATGAAATCTATATATTAACACTTTAACAAGAGGGTTTTGATAAGTTTTTATCAAATTTTAGTAATCAAAGTGATAAAAATAGTATTTACTACTACATCATTTGTTTCTCATTGAACAAAATGTTAAATTCGCTCAATTTACTAACGCATCATAAGGCTGTATTATTATTTTTCTCGCATACCGATGTCATAAGGTCATCTTCTAACGAAATGGCTAAACATAGCCCTATATAGAATTATGGCACTGCAAAATATTATTTTTAAATAAATAATGTCAGGCAATGCTCATATACTATTTTAAGTCGGAAGCTAAACATAGCCCCCTCAATAATTTACTAGTTTTAAGTTGATACTTTAAATTTAAGGAAAACTAATGAAAATGACTTGAAAACTTTAAGTTTTAACGATAAGGACAAAATAAAGGGTAAATTGAATAGTACCATGATTGACTGTTTAGTGTAAAAATGTGGTTTTTCGTTAAAGTGAACAATATCAAGAGCTTTTCGTTAAAGTTCCCTTAAATTTATTGGTTAATTAACTTAATTTAATTAAACTATCGTTGGATATTTTTAAATCTTAACGTTGAATTTGAATCAATTATTGAAATTGAGGAACTGGAATCTAGAAAGGGCTAAGAAATTTCTAATGACTCCATGCTTAACCATCAGTGGGAGATAAAAACTTTGAGCAAATCAAACCACTTATTCGTTTTGCGACCTTTAGCGGCCCTCCCCAATAGAGATGGCCTAACGAAGTAAAATTGGGCCAAATTGGGCCGGACCAATACTAATCTCCCCGCCATTGTAGCGCGCTCCGAGAGTCCGACCCTCCAAGTCTTGGATCTACTTTTCCAGTCCTTCTCTCTCTCTCTCTCACACTTACAGAGAGGAGAGAGAAAGAGATTCGCATATCAAGATAGAGACTGTAGAGAAAGAGAGGGAGAGATGTATGGATATTAATATCGCAAATAAAAAATAAAATAAATTATGATTTTTTTTTTAATTTTAAATTTCTATAATTCATGCCTTTCATGGAAAGAGAGCGAAATCTCAAAAACAAAGAAAAAAACAAAGGCAGTTTAGAGAGAGAAAGCTTGAGAAGGAAAGAGAGAGAGAGAGTGCCGAGGGTTTTTAGTTCGGTAATGGTGATTTAGGCCTGAAGGCGACGGGAGGACGGGTGATTGGAGAAGGGGCTTATTGGAATTGAGGGTGAGTTTTTTCATTGATGCTCTTCGGTGGGGGAGCTGATGGTTGGAAATGGATCCTGTGCGCGGAGGCTAGCACCGGCGCCGGTGGCGGTGGTGGTGGAGGGAGAAGCGGCTGGCACCTCGGCGGCGGCGTCGGTGGCGGAAGCGGCTTCTGGTCTTGGACTGCTTCCTCCAATGTCGGCTTAGCCGTCGCCGTCACGGCCATGGCCGGTATCGCCTTGGCCGCCACAGTCGTCTACTCTCGTAGGTAAAGCAATACAAAAATTCCCAAAAAAATTACTGAATCGAAATCGAAGCCCCTAATTCGTTGTGAGAGCAAAACCCTAGATTCTTCAATAGCTAGATAGATTGATAGGTAGACAAAAACACACATAGATGATTACGCATCAGAAACAACCAATGAAAGCCCTACGGCGGAGTCACACTTCTTCTAATCCACCTCCACCGTCAAATTCCACATCTTCACCGTCGTCAAATTCAACATCTTCACCGTCGTCAAATTCCACATCTTCACCGTCACCGTCGTCGTCATGGATTCATTTGCGATCGGTTTTGTTAGTCGTTGCTTCCTCGTCTTCCACACCAGTTTCCACTGATCGGTGAGTTTTCACTGTTCTTGTTCTTCCCCCTTTTTTCCCCTTAAATTTTGTCCTTTCAAGTGTTACGTAGAAATTGTATGAACAGGAAGAAAAGCTGAGATTCCACATTTTCTAAGCACTCAGATGGGGGTTTTCTAATATTTTTTAAATTTGAGATGTAATCCTGGAGCTCTATCTAGAAGTATCCAATTGATTCTCGGTGTCGAAAACTGTGCTATTCAAGTACTTATTCCTAGTCTTCCCTTACTCGGCTCCCGTAGGATTCAGATTCTGATTATTGCTTCCTTGCTTTTCTATATGGGTTAGATTGAATTGTCCCGTTACTAGTACGCATTAGTTGTGGAATGTCGGAAATGAAATCGGGTTTGAGTAGGCTTTTCTTGCCACAAATTTAGAGGTTTAGTTCTTCTGTTGTCTCTGATTTACAATAAAAGTGCTTTATGGGTTTCCTGTTTAGTCATAAACCTTTCACTGTCCACAAAAATTCTCTCTACTTTGGTGGCAATGGTTCTCTGTCCTTTCGTAGCGGACCTTATTTTTATAGGTGAATTGCACATTGTTCTTTCTGGAGATCTTCGTGTCTTTTGTGTACCACTTTGGATTATTAGTTATGTTTGTTTTACTTATACTTCGTGCAGTGAAGTCTGATCACATTTATTTGTCTCTTTCTTCAGGGGCAGTCTTAAATCACCTTGGTCCCGTAGGAGAAAAAAACATGCCCTTCTACCCAAACAATGGAAAAGTTTATTTACACCAGATGGGAAACTCACTGATGGGGGTCTCAAGTTTTTAAAGAAAGTTCGCAGTGGAGTATGTTCTTGACTTCTGTCAGACCTATTTTTCTATTTTCCATCTAATTGACTTTGTATTTGATGTATGTTTTACAGCTGTTGGATATTAATCACTTACTTTCTGATGCAGGGTGTTGATCCAAGTATTCGAGCTGAAGTGTGGCCGTTTCTTCTTGGAGTGTAAGTATTTTCATATCTATGCGATTGCTTTAATGCTTCAAGTTTTGTATTTGTTAAGAACTTCTTGTTAAAGTGATGACTGGTTGCCTGGTCCTGGGGAATGCTTGGTTTGGGGAGCCTTGCAGGTGTCTGCTATGAATTATGATGAATTTTTCATCCATCACCCAGATGTACTTTTAGTCTTTTCTGGTGTGCCTTAGCGCTGTGTTTTCCGAGTGCTTTGGAATACATACACATTTTATTTGATTTTTTTCTTTGGTTTCATTATGTACATCCTGTGTGATTTTCCTAGTGGCTATGATTTGGTACAATGGGGAGAGGGATGAAAAACCTAAATGTGTTTGTTTTAAGTTCCAACAATTATTAAAGCCGGGACCCCCATGCATTGTATGTTCTGTTTTTATGGATGTTTTAGTCTTGATTAACTTGGGAACTGGCATCTGAGTGCAACAACAACAACAACAACAAAGCCTTTTCCCACTAAGTGGGGTCGGCTATATGAATCCTAGAACGCCATTGCGCTCGGTTTTGTGTCATGTCCTCCGTTAGATCCAAGTACTCTAAGTCTTTTCTTAGAGTCTCTTCCAAAGTTTTCCTAGGTCTTCCTCTACCCCTTTGGCCCTGAACCTCTGTCCCGTAGTCACATCTTCGAACCGGAGCGTCAGTCGGCCTTCTTTGCACATGTCCAAATCATCGGAGCCGATTTTCTCTCATCTTTCCTACAATTTCGGCTACTCCTACTTTACCTCGGATATCCTCATTCCCAATCTTATCCTTTCTCGTGTGCCCACACATCCCACAAAGCATCCTCATCTCCGCTACACCCCATTTTGTGTACGTGTTGATGCTTCACCGCCCAACATTCTGTGCCATACAACATCGCTGGCCTTATTGCCGTCCTATAAAATTTTCCCTTGAGCTTCAGTGGCCTACGACGGTCACACAACACGCCGGATGCACTCTTACACTTCATCCATCCAGCTCGTATTCTATGGTTGAGATCTCCATCTAATTCTCCGTTCTCTTGCAAGATAGATCCTAGGTAGCGAAAACGGTCGCTTTTTGTGATCTTCGCTAGATTGCTCCGGTCATTAGTGTGGATAAGTATATAAATGGATAGAGATAGGAAAGCAAACACAAGATGTACGTGGTTCACCCAGATTGGCTACGTCCACGGAATAGAAGAGTTCTCATTAATTGTGAAGGGTTTACACAAGTACATAGGTTCAAGCTCTCCTTTAGTGAGTACAAGTGAATGATTTAGTACAAATGACATTAGGAAATATTGTGGGAGAATGATCTCGTAATCACGAAACTTCTAAGTATCGGAGTGTGGTGTCGTCTTTGACTTGCCTTATCTGTCTCATAGGTAGATGTGGCATCTTCTCTGGAAGTACTCTTCCTCCATCCAGGGGTGGTATCTTTAACTGGTGGAGATGCACAAGGTAATGTATCAATTTCACTTGAAGCTTACTTGTAGTTTCAGGCTTGGTCAAGCGCGATACAAACCATGTAGTAGGAGTCCCCCAAGTCGCCGAGCTAGGGGGTCTGCTGAAAGAGGTGACAGACAAGGTAAGCAATCAGAGCTCCGACTGATTGTTCACCTTCTCCCCATCTTGCAGCAGCATGAAGGATAAAGAGAAGAAAAATGAGAAGAGATGATATGAGATACTTTTGCTTTTGAAGAAGTAACTTTCCACAGGCTTATTCTTGAACTGAGCTGGAGGGTTTTCTGGTTTCCTCCAGAGTATAAGGCCGACTGAAGAATTTGAGGGTCAAAACAAGTCCATCAAATCTAGAGTACGTTCCACCCTGCTGATATGGGATACTTTTGCTTTTGACAGAGTAATGGATGTATCGGCACGTGTGCTGTTACGCTTGTCTCCACATGCTTCCTTGTATCCTTCGCACTTGCCCTATCTGTTCCTCAAGCAGATGCGGAATCTTCCCTGGAAACATAAGATGTTGAAGATGAGTACTCGAGAGCAATGCCAGGTAAGTAATCAGGTAAGGGGTTCCAGGCAGTCAGTTCCTGGCTGGAAGCTTGATTCCAAGTGCTGACTGATTGCTCTCTTTCTCCTTGTCTTGCAGGTAAAAAACAAGGCCAAAGGAAAAGACAGGGAAAAAGCATGATATGGGATACTCTTGCTTTTAACCCTGATGATATGAGATATTCTTGCTCTAGTATAGCTTGTTTGCAGAGGTATTATCGGGGGGAAAGAAAGCTGAATATTTCGAAAGGCTTCGTTGGGAGTGCCCTCTCTCAGATATGATGAAGGGTTGAGCATTTTTGCAGGTCTGCCTGTCCGTTGGGGATGGAGGTCGACATATATAGGAGTCTCCCTAACAACAAGTAGTAATGCTATTCCTTTACCCTGCTTGGTCATAGCACGGTAGTGGGAGCTGCCAGTTTCACATGTTTTAACTCTGTCAGAGCACTTTGAAAAAGTGGTCTGTGGTATCTGGCTCTCGAGATTCGGAGAACGATGCCTCTTCGATTTTTGAGAAAGCAATCATGCTGGGGGTCTGGCTCTCGAGATTCGGAGAGCAGTGTCTCTTCGATTTTTGAGGAAGTAATCATGTTGGGAGTCTGGCTCTCGAGATTCGGAGGGCGGTGCCTCTTCGATTTTGGAGCAAGCAATCTTGTTGGGAGTGTTGTCTCGAATGTGAGTAAAGGTTGGGCATGTTTGCTAGTCTACCTTGCCACGAAGCACAAAGGTTGACACACAGGGACTTTCCAATTATCCAGCAATGGTACTGTTCCTTTACCCTCTCTTCGATTTTGAGAAAGTAGTCATGTTGGGAGTCTGGCTCTCGAGATTCGGAGGACGGTGCCTCTTCGATTTTGGAGCAAGCAATCTTGTTGGGAGTGTTTTCTCGAATGTGAGTAAAGGTTGGGCATGTTTGCTAGTCTACCTTGCCACGAAGCACAGAGGTTGACACACAGGGACTTTCCAATTATCCAGCAGTGGTACTGTTCCTTTACCCTTGTGGGTAATAATATGGTAGCTAGACCTTCAAAATTTATGTGTCTAAACTTTGTTAGTGCTGTTTCTTTGCTATTCTTTTACCTTTCTTGGTCAGAGCGATGTAGTGGGAGCTGCAAGCTTCACGTGCTCAACTTTGGCAGAGAACTTTGGCAAAGTTATCTGTGGTACCCATGAGCTATTGTTGCGTGTGGGAAGTGGGTGATTGAACAGTAAGATTCATGTGCTTTCTACTTCACCAGAAGTCTTCGACAGAATGCCCATAATTTCTGCAAAGCTGAGTGTGCGTGTGACAGGTGCTGACAAGGCTAGAAAAGTAGGTGCCTCTTCGATTTCTGAGATCGGCCCTCGTGGTCTCTGAGCAGCCCAGCTTTTGAGAAAGCGAGCGCCTCTTCGATTGATTCGGAGAACGATGCCTCATCGATTTTTGAGAAAGCAATCATGCTGGGGGTCTGGCTCTCGAAGATTCGGGGAGCAGTGTCTCTTCGATTTTTGAGAAAGTAATCATGTTGGGAGTCTGGCTCTCGAGATTCGGAGGGCGGTGCCTCTTCGATTTTGGAGCAAGCAATCTTGTTGGGAGTGTTTTCTCGAATGTGAGTAAAGGTTGGGCATGTTTGCTAGTCTACCTTGCCACGAAGCACAGAGGTTGACACACAGGGACTTTCCAATTATCCAGCAATGGTACTGTTCCTTTACCCTCTCTTCGATTTTTAAGAAAGTAGTCATGTTGGGAGTCTGGCTCTCGAGATTCGGAGGACGGTGCCTCTTCGATTTTGGAGCAAGCAATCTTATTGGGAGTGTTTTCTCTCGAATGTGAGTAAAGGTTGGGCATGTTTGCTAGTCTACCTTGCCACGAAGCACAGAGGTTGACACACAGGGACTTTCCAATTATCCAGCAGTGGTACTGTTCCTTTACCCTTGTGGGTAATAATATGGTAGCTAGACCTTCAAAATTTATGGGTCTAAACTTTGTTAGTGCTGTTTCTTTGCTATTCTTTTACCCTTCTTGGTCAGAGCGATGTAGTGGGAGCTGCAAGCTTCACGTGCTCAACTTTGGCAGAGAACTTTGGCAAAGTTATCTGTGGTACCCATGAGCTATTGTTGCGTGTGGGAAGTGGGTGATTGAACAGTAAGATTCATGTGTTTTCTACTTCCCCAGAAGTCTTCGACAGAATGCCCATAATTTCCGCAAAGCTGAGTGTGCGTGTGACAGGTGCTGACAAGGCTGGAAAAGTAGGTGCCTCTTCGATTTCTGAGATCGGCCCTCGTGGTCTCTGGGGAGCCCAGCTTTTGAGAAAGCGAGCGCCTCTTCGATTTCTGAGATCGGCCTTCGTGGTCTTTGAGCAGCCCAACTTTTGAGAAAGCAAACGCCTCTTCGATTTCTGAGATCAACCCTCGTGATCTCTAAGCAGCCCAGCTTTTGAGAAAGCAAACGCCTCTTCGATTTCTGAGCAGGCGCCTCTTCGATTTCTGAAGCTCCGTCGAGTGCAGATTTTTTATAGGGGCTGGCATTAAGTTCCAAAGCACACTTGAATCTCCACCAGTAGAAGCTTCATTCTTGCACTTCTAAGATCTTGATTTGTCCGACCTCTTCTCTCTTCAACACCTTTGAAAATGTCTGGCCCCTCCGACCGTCGTTTTGACTTGAACCTTGTTGAAGAGGCAGCCCCGCCTTCTCCAGACAACATATGGCGCCCATCCTTCGTCTCCCCTACTGGTCCTCTTACCGTTGGGGATTCCGTGATGAAGAATGATATGACCGCTGCGGTGGTGGCCAGGAACCTTCTCACTCCCAAAGATAACAGACTACTTTCCAAACGGTCTGATGAGTTAGCTGTTAAGGATTCGCTGGCTCTCAGTGTTCAGTGTGCAGGTTCTGTGTCTAATATGGCCCAACGCCTATTTGCTCGAACCCGCCAAGTTGAATCATTGGCGGCTGAAGTGATGAGTCTCAAACAGGAGATTAGAGGGCTCAAGCATGAGAATAAACAGTTGCACCGGCTCGCACATGACTATGCTACAAACATGAAGAGGAAGCTTGACCAGATGAAGGAAACTGATGGTCAGGTTTTACTTGATCATCAGAGATTTGTGGGTTTGTTCCAAAGGCATTTATTGCCTTCGTCTTCTGGGGCTGTACCGCGCGTAATGAAGCTCCAAATGATCAACCTCTGATGCCTCCTCCTTCTAGGGTTCTGTCCAGTACTGAGGCTCCAAATGATCCCCCTCCGGTGCCTTCTCTTTCTGGGGCTCTACCGACTGCTGAGACTTCTCCTAAGCAACCTTTGTGAAGGCTCCCTCTTGTGTGTTTATTTTGACTCATGTATATGTACATATTTGTAGCTTATCGGGGATATCAATAAATAAGCTTTCCTTCATTTCAACGTATTGTGTTAAATACACCAAAGCCTTCTTCGCTAAGTTCTTTGAATTTTCTTTTGTTGAAGCTTGTATGTTGAAGCTTTCTGAGTGGAGCATGTAGGTTGGGGTAGTGTTCCCTTAATTTCCCGAGTGAGGAAAACTTCTCGGTTGGAGACTTGGAAAATCCAAGTCACTGAGTGGGATCGGCTATATGAATCTTAGAACGCCATTGTGCTCGATCCTGTGTCATGTCCTTCGTTAGATCCAAGTACTCTAAGTCTTTTCTTAGAGTCTCTTCCAAAGTTTTCCTAGGTCTTCCTCTACCCCTTCGGCCCTGAACCTCTGTCCCATAGTCGCATCTTCTAATCGGAGCGTCAGTAGGCCTTCTTTGCACATGTCCAAACCACCGTAACCGATTTTCTCTCATCTTTCCTTCAATTTCGGCTACTCCTACTTTACCCCGGATATCCTCATTCCTAATCTTATCCTTTCTCGTGTGCCCACACATCCAACGAAGCATCCTCATCTCCGCTACACCCATTTTGTGTACGTGTTGATGTTTCACCGCCCAACATTCTGTGCCATACAGCATCGCCGGCCTTATTGCCGTCCTATAAAATTTTCCCTTGAGCTTCAGTGGCATACGGCGGTCACACAACACGCCGGATGCACTCTTCCACTTCATCCATCCAGCTTGTATTCTATGGTTGAGATCTCCATCTAATTCTCCGTTCTTTTGCAAGATAGATCCTAGGTAACGAAAACGGTCGCTCTTTGGTATTTCTTGATCTCCGATCCTCACCCCTAACTCGTTTTGGCCTCCATTTGCACTGAACTTGCACTCCATATATTCTGTCTTTGATCGGCTTAGGCGAAGACCTTTAGATTCCAACACTTCTCTCCAAAGGTTAAGCTTTGCATTTACCCCTTCCTGAGTTTCATCTATCAACACTATATCGTCTGCGAAAAGCATACACCAAGGAATATCATCTTGAATATGTCCTGTTAACTCATCCATTACCAACGCAAAAAGGTAAGGACTTAAGGATGAGCCTTGATGTAATCCTACAGTTATGGGAAAGCTTTCGGTTTGTCCTTCATGAGTTCTTACGGCAGTCTTTGCTCCTTCATACATATCCTTTATAGCTTGGATATATGCTACTCGTACTCCTTTCTTCTCTAAAATCCTCCAAAGAATGTCTCTTGGGACCCTATCATACGCTTTTTCCAAATCTATAAAGACCATGTGTAAATCCTTTTTCCCATCTCTATATCTTTCCATCAATCTTCGTAAGAGATAGATTGCCTCCATGGTTGAGCGCCCTGGCATGAACCCGAATTGGTTGTCCGAAACCCGTGTCTCTTGCCTCAATCTATGCTCAATGACTCTCTCCCAGAGCTTCATTGTATGACTCATTAGCTTAATACCCCTATAGTTCATGCAATTTTGTACGTCGCCCTTATTCTTGTAGATAGGCACCAAAGTGCTCGTTCGCCACTCATTTGGCATCTTCTTCGTTTTCAAAATCCTATTGAAAAGGTCAGTGAGCCATGTTATACCTGTCTCTCCCAAAAGTTTCCACACTTCGATTGGTATATCGTCTGGGCCTATTGCTTTTTTATGCTTCATCTTCTTCAAAGCTACAACCACTTCTTCCTTCCGGATTCGACGATAAAAAGAGTAGTTTCTACACTCTTCTGAGTTACTCAACTCCCCTAAAGAAGCACTCATTTCATGTCCTTCATTGAAAAGATTATGAAAATAACCTCTCCATCTGTCTTTAACCGCGTTCTCTGTAGCAAGAACCTTTCCATCCTCATCCTTGATGCACCTCACTTGGTTTAGGTCCCTTGTCTTCTTTTCCCTTGCTCTAGATAGTTTATAGATATCCAACTCTCCTTCTTTGGTATCTAGTCGTTTATACATATCGTCGTAAGCCGCTAACTTAGCTTCTCTGACAGCTTTCTTCGCCTCTTGCTTCGCTTTTCTATACCTTTCACCATTTTCATCGGTCCTCTCCTTGTATAAGGCTTTACAACATTCCTTCTTAGCCTTCACCTTTGTTTGTACCTCCTCATTCCACCACCAAGATTCCTTTTGGTGTGGGGCAAAGCCCTTGGACTCTCCTAATACCTCTTTTGCTACTTTTCGGATACAACTAGCCATGGAATCCCACATTTGGCTAGCTTCCCCCTCTCTATCCCACACACATTGGGTGATTACCTTCTCTTTGAAAATGGCTTGTTTTTTCTTCTTTTAGATTCCACCATCTAGTCCTTGGGCACTTCCAAGTCTTGTTCTTTTGTCTTACTCTTTTGATATGTACATCCATCACCAACAAGCGATGTTGATTAGCCACGCTCTCTCCTGGTATAACTTTGCAATCCTTACAAGTTATACGATCCCCTTTCCTCATTAGAAGAAAATCTATTTGTGTTTTTGACGACCCACTCTTGTAGGTGATCACATGTTCTTCTCTCTTCTTAAAGAAGGTGTTGGCTAAGAAGAGATCATATGCCATTGCAAAATCCAAGATAGCTTCCCCATCCTCGTTTCTCTCCCCAAAACCATGGCCACCATGAAAACCTCCATAGTTGCCTGTCTCCCTGCCCACGTGTCCATTTAAATCTCTATAAAATTTTGAAAATGTTTAAAAAACAAGGCTCCCGATACCTTCTTTGTCTTGACTTGTCAGCTTGCCTCTACTGAAACAAAGTTTGAGTTCTTTGTAACGTGCATGATCATACTTCTCTTTTCTTTGTTTCTTTTACGGTACTTTGCGATGTTTGCAACCGCACAATGTCTTTTAGGTGTCTTGCTTTCCCGGAATTCTTATTTGTACATAAATTTTGTAGGTATGCTAGTGCAATAGAAAGAAACCCACATGATTATGATGCACTTTACAATTGGGCGCTGGTTCTTCAGGTTTGAGATACTCTCCTGCTCGATCTTTGGTTGCATTTGGTTATGGTTTTTGCTTATCAAATTTCAACTAGACGGCTTTCTGTGAATTTAACTATTTCCTTGATAGGCAATTGTGAGAATGGTGTTATTTTATATGGGTTTGGAGGCACAAGGTGTTGATTTTAATCCCCCTTAGTTGATCATGTTTATTGATAGTCTCCGGTGTTATGCAAACTTATAAGATGATGCCATGCGAATATATGAACAGTTTAGTAAACACGCCACACAACAACAACAACAACAACAAAGCCTTTTCCCACTAAGTGGGGTCGGCTATATGAATCCTAGAACGCCATTGCGCTCGGTTTTGTGTCATGTCCTCCGTTAGAACCAAGTACTCTAAGTCTTTTCTTAGAGTCTCTTCCAAAGTTTTCCTAGGTCTTCCTCTACCCCTTTGGCCCTGAACCTCTGTCCCGTAGTCACATCTTCGAACCGGAGCGTCAGTAGGCCTTCTTTGCACATGTCCAAATCACCGGAACCGATTTTCTCTCATCTTTCCTTCAATTTCGGCCACTCCTACTTTACCTCGAATATCCTCATTTCCAATCTTATCATTTCTTGTGTGCCCACACATCCCACGAAGCATCCTCGTCTCCGCCACACCCATTTTGTGTATGTGTTGATGCTTCACCGCCCAACATTCTGTGTCATACAACATCGCTGGCCTTATTGCCGTCCTATAAAATTTTCCCTTGAGCTTCAGTGGCCTACGACGGTCACACAACCCGCCGGATGCACTCTTACACTTCATCTATCCAACTTCTATTCTATGGTTGAGATCTCTCTCTAATTCTCCGTTCTCTTGCACGATATATCCTAGGTAGCGAAAACGGTCGCTTTTTTGTGATCTTCGCTAGATTGCTCCGATCATTAGTGTGGATAAGTATATAAAATGGATATAGATAGGAAAGCAAACACAAGATGTACGTGGTTCACCCAGATTGGCTACGTCCACGGAATAGAGGAGTTCTCATTAATTGTGAAGGGTTTACACAAGTACATAGGTTCAAGCTTTCCTTTAGTGAGTACAGGTGAATGATTTAGTACAAATGACATTAGGAAATATTGTGGGAGAATGATCTCGTAATCACGAAACTTCTAAGTATCGGAATGTGGTATCGTCTTGACTTGCCTTATCTGTCTCATAGGTAGATGTGGCATCTTCTCTGGAAGTACTCTTCCTCCATCCAGGGGTGGTATCTTTAACTGGTGGAGATGCACAAGGTAATGTATCAATTTCACTTGAAGCTTACTTGTAGTTTCAGGCTTGGTCAAGCGCGATACAAACCATGTAGTAGGAGTCCCTCAAGTTGCCGAGCTAGGGGATTTGCTGAAAGAGGTGACAGACAAGGTAAGCAATCAGAGCTCCGGCTGATTGTTCACATTCTCCCTATCTTGCAGGCAGCATGAAGGATAAAGAGAAGAAAAATGAGAAGAGATGATATGGGATACTTTTGCTTTTGAAGAAGTAACTTTCCACAGGCTTATTCTTGAACTGAGCTGGAGGGTTTTCTGGTTTCCTCCAGAGTATAAGGCCGACTGAAGAATTTGAGGGTCAAAACAAGTCCATCAAATCTAGAGTACGTTCGACCCTACTGATATGGGATACTTTTTGCTTTGACAGAGTAATGGATGTATCGGCACGTGTGCTGTTACGCTTGTCTCCACATGCTTCCTTGTATCCTTCTCACTTGCCCTATCTGTTCCTCAGGCAGATGCGGTATCTTCCCTGGAAGCATAAGATGTTGAAGATGAGTACTCGAGAGCAATGCCAGGTAAGTAAGTTCCAGGCAGTCAGTTCCTGGCTGGAAGCTTGATTCCAAGTGCTGACTGATTGCTCTCTTTCTCCTTGTCTTGCAGGTAAGAACAAGGCCAAAGGAAAAGACAGGGAAAAAGCATGATATGGGATACTCTTGCTTTTAACCCTGATGATATGAGATATTCTTGCTCTAGTATAACTTGTTTGCAGAGGTATTATCGGGGGGAAAGAAAGCTGAATATTTCGAAAGGCTTCGTTGAGAGTGCCCTCTCATATATGAGGAAGGGTTGAGCATTTTTGCAGGTCTGTCTGTCCGTTGGGGATGGAGGTTGACATATATAGGAGTCTCCTTAACAACAAGTAGTAATGCTATTCCTTTTACCCCTGTCAGAGCACTTTGAAAAAGTGGTCTGTGGTATGTGGAAAGCTGATGTTGCGTGTGAAGATTACAGACAACTTTATCCAAGGAGATCCGGCTCTTGTAGTTGGGAAAGTGTTGCCTCTTCGGTTTTCGAACAAGCAATCCTATCAGGGATCTGGCTCTCGAGATTCGGAGAACGATGTCTCTTCGATTTTTGAGAAAGTAATCATGTTGGGAGTCTGGCTCTCGAGATTCGGAGGGCGGTGCCTCTTCGATTTTGGAGCAAGCAATCTTGTTGGGAGTGTTTTCTCGAATGTGAGTAAAGGTTGGGCATGTTTGCTAGTCTACCTTGCCACGAAGCACAGAGGTTGACACACAGGGACTTTCCAATTATCCAGCAATGGTACTGTTTCTTTACCCTCTCTTCGATTTTTGAGAAAGTAGTCATGTTGGGAGTCTGGCTCTCGAGATTCGGAGGACGGTGCCTCTTCGATTTTGGAGCAAGCAATCTTGTTGGGAGTGTTTTCTCGAATGTGAGTAAAGGTTGGGCATGTTTGCTAGTCTACCTTGCCACGAAGCACAGAGGTTGACACACAAGGACTTTCCAATTATCCAGCAGTGGTACTGTTCCTTTACCCTTGTGGGTAATAATATGGGGTAGCTAGACCTTCAAAATTTATGTGTCTAAACTTTGTTAGTGCTGTTTCTTTGCTATTCTTTTACCCGTTCTTGGTCAGAGCGATGTAGTGGAAGCTGCAAGCTTCACGTGCTCAACTTTGGCAGAGAACTTTGGCAAAGTTATCTGTGGTACCCATGAGCTACTGTTGCGTGTGGGAAGTGGGTGATTGAACAGTAAGATTCATGTGCTTTCTACTTCACCAGAAGTCTTCGACAGAATGCCCATAATTTCCGCAAAGCTGAGTGTGCGTGTGACAGGTGCTGACCAAGGCTGGAAAAGTAGGTGCCTCTTCGATTTCTGAGATCGGCCCTCGTGGTCTCTGAGCAGCCCAGCTTTTGAGAAAGCAAGCGCCTCTTCGATTTCTGAGATCGGCCTTCGTGGTCTTTGAGCAGCCCAACTTTTGAGAAAGCAAACGCCTCTTCGATTTCTGAGATCGACCCTCGTGGTCTCTGAGCAGCCCAGCTTTTGAGAAAGCAAACGCCTCTTCGATTTCTGAGCAGGCGCCTCTTCGATTTCTGAAGCTCCGTCGAGTGCAGATTTTTATAGGGGCTGGCATTAAGTTCCAAAGCACACTTGAATCTCCACCAGTAGAAGCTCCATTCTTGCACTTCTAAGATCTTGATTTGTTCCGACCTCTTCTCTCTTCAACACCTTTGAAAATGTCTGGCCCCTCCGACCGTCGTTTTGACTTGAACCTTGTTGAAGAGGCAGCCCCGCCTTCTCCAGACAACATATGGCGCCCATCCTTCGTCTCCCCTACTGGTCCTCTTACCGTTGGGGATTCCGTGATGAAGAATGATATGACCGCTGCGGTGGTGGCCAGGAACCTTCTCACTCCCAAAGATAACAGACTACTTTCCAAACGGTCTGATGAGTTAGCTGTTAAGGATTCTCTGGCTCTCAGTGTTCAGTGTGCAGGTTCTGTGTCTAATATGGCCCAACGCCTATTTGCTCGAACCCGCCAAGTTGAATCATTGGCGGCTGAAGTGATGAGTCTCAAACAGGAGATTAGAGGGCTCAAGCATGAGAATAAACAGTTGCACCGGCTCGCACATGACTATGCTACAAACATGAAGAGGAAGCTTGACCAGATGAAGGAATCTGATGGTCAGGTTTTACTTGATCATCAGAGATTTGTGGGTTTGTTCCAAAGGCATTTATTGCCTTCGTCTTCTGGGGCTGTACCGCGTAATGAAGCTCCAAATGATCAACCTCTGATGCCTCCTCCTTCTAGGGTTCTGTCCAGTACTGAGGCTCCGAATGATCCCCCTCCGGTGCCTTCTCTTTCTGGGGCTCTACCGACTGCTGAGACTTCTCCTAAGCAACCTTTGTGAAGGCTCCCTCTTGTTTGTTTATTTTGACTCATGTATATGTACATATTTGTAGCTTATCGGGGATATCAATAAATAAGCTTTTCCTTCATTTCAACGTATTGTGTTAAATACACCAAAGCCTTCTTCGCTAAGTTCTTTGAATTTTCTTTTGTTGAAGCTTGTATGTTGAAGCTTTGTGAGTGGAGCATGTAGGTTGAGGTAGTGTTCCCTTAATTTCCTGAGTGAGGAAAACTTCTCGGTTGGAGACTTGGAAAATCCAAGTCACTGAGTGGGATCGGCTATATGAATGAATCTTAGAACGCCATTGTGCTCGGTCCTGTGTCATGTCCTTCGTTAGATCCAAGTACTCTAAGTCTTTTCTTAGAGTCTCTTCCAAAGTTTTCCTAGGTCTTCCTCTACCCCTTCGGCCCTGAACCTCTGTCCCATAGTCGCATCTTCTAATCGGAGCGTCAGTAGGCCTTCTTTGCACATGTCCAAACCACCGTAACCGATTTTCTCTCTCATCTTTCCTTCAATTTCGGCTACTCCTACTTTACCCCGGATATCCTCATTCCTAATCTTATCCTTTCTCGTGTGCCCACACATCCAACGAAGCATCCTCATCTCCGCTACACCCATTTTGTGTACGTGTTGATGCTTCACCGCCCAACATTCTGTGCCATACAGCATCGCCGGCCTTATTGCCGTCCTATAAAATTTTCCCTTGAGCTTCAGTGGCATACGGCGGTCACACAACACGCCGGATGCACTCTTCCACTTCATCCATCCAGCTTGTATTCTATGGTTGAGATCTCCATCTAATTCTCCGTTCTTTTGCAAGATAGATCCTAGGTAACGAAAACGATCGCTCTTTGGTATTTCTTGATCACCGATCCTCACCCCTAACTCGTTTTGGCCTCCATTTGCACTGAACTTGCACTCCATATATTCTGTCTTTGATCGGCTTAGGCGAAGACCTTTAGATTCCAACACTTCTTTCCAAAGGTTAAGCTTTGCATTTACCCCTTCCTGAGTTTCATCTATCAACACTATATCGTCTGCGAAAAGCATACACCAAGGAATATCATCTTGAATATGTCCTGTTAACTCATCCATTACCAACGCAAAAAGGTAAGGACTTAAGGATGAGCCTTGATGTAATCCTACAGTTATGGGAAAGCTTTCAGTTTGTCCTTCATGAGTTCTTACGGCAGTCTTTGCTCCTTCATACATATCCTTTATAGCTTGGATATATGCTACTCGTACTCTTTTCTTCTCTAAAATCCTCCAAAGAATGTCTCTTGGGACCCTATCGTACGCTTTCTCCAAATCTATAAAGACCATGTGTAAATCCTTTTTCCCATCTCTATATCTTTCCATCAATCTTCGTAAGAGATAGATTGCCTCCATGGTTGAGCGCCCTGGCATGAACCCGAATTGGTTGTCCGTAGTAAACACGCCACACACAAACATAAAAAATTTAGCGAGGTTTGGCGAACTTTGCCTACTCCTTGTGTGATCTCTCTTGAGAAATCACTTGCACCATGGAGAATAACAACTAGGTTACAAGAACTTATTGAAAGCCCTTATGCTAAACCCCAAAACCTTTCTTTAGATCTCTTTATCACTCTTGGCTCTCTACCTTGTATTTTCTCTTCTGTTCATGTTAATAAATCAGCCCCAACAAGCCTATTTATAGCACATACACCAATTTTTACATGCCTTACAAGTATAGGATTCCTAAATTCTCTTAGAATTGGGAAAACTAACTTATTTCTAATCCTAAACTGATTGAGATTAAAAAGGAAAACCTATTTCCCAATTCTTATGGGAGATAACCTGTGCACATTCCTTTTCTCCTTTCCAAACACCAATTGGAAACCTAAACCTGTTTGGCCTTTGTAATTTGATGAGCCAACTCACAACACATGGTAATAAGAATAATATGCTCACTGAAACTTGGTCTACCCTTATGTGCTGTTTACTAAGCTAGAGTACCATTCTACATTAGCCAACGTTTTCCAATTGGGCCATTTGTGTGGAATGAATAAGGGTATAAGTATCTTCATTATGTGAGTCTCTCCTGCAGTTATGTGTCTTTAGTTGTTTCAGCTTCTCTCTAAATGATTAAATAATGTGAAGTGTCACTTGAAATTTTTGTTTTAAAGGACATTTTGTCTTCCCCTTAGGTGAACCAGTTTGAATTTACTATCTAAATAATCCTCGTCTGGGATGCAGGAAAGTGCAGATAACGTTAGTCCAGATTCTACTAATCCTTCTAAAGATGCTTTGCTTGAGGAGGCTTGCAGAAAGTATGATGAGGCTACCCGTCTGTGCCCAACACTTCATGATGTATGTTTGCATATCCTTTTACAATATAATCTCATCAAATAGCTAGTGAAATTAGTAATCTAGAAAGTGCCATGACAGAGTTCTTCAGAAGGTGTATGTATGTGTGTAGATGATCTTTCTATAATTTCTGATTAGTTATCTCACTTGTGTGAGTGTGAAAATAATGCGTGATTTTTACTTTCCAGGCTTTCTATAATTGGGCTATTGCTATCTCTGATCGGGCAAAAATGCGTGGTCGTACAAAGGAAGCTGAAGAACTATGGAAGCAGGTTAGACCATAATTCAGTGTTTCAGCCTTGCAAGATAGAAGTTACTTTCTTTTTCCATGTCTTAAAAAAGTTGCTGCTCTTGTTATTCTCCTGCTGCGGCTGTTGTGGCAACTCTTACACATGGCAGCTGGATTCTGACGCTTGGAAGTTGGACGTGACTTTTTAATATTCAAGATATAATAGCATAGAAACATGAGCAATTTGATACTCTTTAGTTTATTCTTTTGTAAAAAACTAGGCCTTTGGACTAGTTGATCTTTTGGAGGTATAGGAAACTAGGAGTTTGCTTCTTAAATCAATTTTGCTTCTCCTTAGATGTGGTGGTGCTGGCATCAAGTGGTGATAATTCTCATTTATTCCTTGCCGAATCATAACCAACTGGATTTTTAATCCCTAAAGAAAAACATAATTTCGAATAAATGAAATGATTTTTACCACCCCTTGATTTGATTTGCAGGCTACAAAAAATTATGAAAAAGCAGTGTTGCTCAACTGGAACAGTCCCCAGGTATGACTCAATAAATTGTTGTATTAGGCTATTCCTATTTCTTATGATATCCTACGAAAACCAACGTTTTATACAATTATGAAAGAGAAACAGATTATGAAATCCGGGAAAAATGTACTTATTTGCATTGTCTCCTTTCCGTGTCATATATTCCAGGCACTTAACAACTGGGGACTTGCTCTGCAGGTATCTTAAATTGCATTAGTATTTTATTTTAATTTAACTTATTTTAGAAGAAATAAAATCTTTTTAAATTTTCTTCTCGCTCGGCATATAATTATGTTCCATGTCATGAACTCCAAATTGATTTTTTTTTTTAATCAATTATGCAATTTAGGAACTCAGCGCAATTGTTCCTGCACGGGAAAAGCAAACAATTGTAAGATCTGCAATAAGTAAGGTACCATATAATAATTTTTTGGAGATATCAGAATGATTGGATAAATGTGGATGGGAAACCAGAATATTATTTTCATCTTTGAAGTGTTTGTTTCTCGTTTATACTGTCATGACTCATGTCATTTTCTTCTGGTGCAGTTCCGCGCAGCTATTCAGTTGCAGTTTGATTTCCATCGAGCAATTTACAATCTTGGAACCGTATTGGTTAGTTTGTTACTTATCTTAATAATTTTAGGATAATGTGATACTCCATTCATAATTTAAAAGGACTCTCAGTTTCCTCTATACTGGATAACAAGAAACCACTGGTTCTCTTATCTAATAATCCCCCGTAAATTGAATTACCAAACCTTGGGGGTCTTTTTCTTACTTGCAGTATGGATTGGCTGAGGACACACTAAGAACTGGGGGATTTGGACACCCCAAAGAAGTTTCACCTAATGAGTTGTATAGTCAATCGGCTATCTACATTGCAGCTGCTCATGCTTTGAAACCAAATTACAATGTAAGGTTCCCATAGTTTTCTTTCTCAACCAATTTGATTCGATTTTTATTTGGAGAAAAGGATAGCCCTTCAGTGAGAGAGACGTAAAATTTAGTTGGTTTTATTTTTCCTTTAAAGTTTAAGGATATTCACTTTTATTGTGTATGCTAAGTTTTTGTGTGATTAATTATTTACAGGTTTACAGTAGTGCCTTGCGGCTCGTGCGATCCATGGTAAGAAGTTAAGAACTAATACCAACTTCAGTAAACCCTTTAGCTTCTGTATAAATATTTTTGGTCAGTTATGAGGTCGGGTCTCAACTGGTTCTCCATTGAGAAGTGGTCCTTATGACAGAGCCATACACGATGCGCGTTCCTGATTTTTCCCTGATCATCAGGACTTAATTTTCCCAAATCTTTCGGTGGTCATACCTTGATGTCTGCTTAATCTCGTTGGTTGAGAGATTATTTTTTTGGTTTGCTGACATGATAATTTCTAATCTTTACAGCTTCCTTTACCATATCTTAAAGTTGGATATCTTACTGCACCACCAGCGGGAAAACCAATTGCACCTCATAGTGATTGGAAACGATCGGAGTTTGTTTTGAATAATGAAGGGCTTCAACAGGTAATTCTTTATCGTTTTAGTGTATATCAAGGGAAGAAAAATCATCTGCACATTTGATAACTGATTTAGTTATGGTAACTTTCCTTGCTTGTGCCAAGTATTTTCTTTATCTGTTTGTTACTTATTTGTGTTCTTTCTGTTCATTTACTTCCTTTCAGCAGGTTAGCAAAAATGAGCAAAAGCATGTACCCCAAGGCATCTCAAGCAGATCAGTAGAAGCAGCTATAAAAGTTGCTGTTCCCGATATCGTTTCTGTTTCAGCATGTGGAGATCTGACTTTACCACCTGGTGCTGGCCTCTGCATCGATACAATTCACGGACCCATCTATCTGGTAAGGAACTCCCTTGGCAACAGATAAAATTCTTTATACGAAGATTAAGTTCTTTGGTTCTTTGTGATGGCATCAAATCATAGAAATTTTCCGGTGGTCTGTAAAGTGCATGAAAAGTGGACTAAAAACATTGCATTAATATTTGAAAACCCGATTCTGATGCGAACATTCTACCTCCAGGTTGCCGATTCATGGGAATCCCTTGATGGATGGCTTGATGCAATCCGTCTAGTTTACACCATCTATGCGCGGGGTAAGAGTGATGTTCTGGCAGGTATTGTAACAGGCTGATTTAATGTAGTTTTTATGTATCTTTTATTGTATCATCAGTTCCGTATTTTGTTTCGAGTGATGGATAATTTTCCGGTCGAGAATGACTTGTTCGAATAAACTCTGTATATCATAAATTTTTTTGACACGATCAAATACAATTTTTCTCTGCGTAGTCAGAATATTTTCAATAGTGGACCTCGTTGCTCTTTCAATCTTCCAGAAAACTCAAAGAAAACTAGCATTTGCACTTCTTTTTGCATCTTTTGAAGATGTCTGTGTTTGATGTCTGCACCTCATTCTCATCTCAAAACTGACCTCAGACGCCATCCGCCTGGGCTGGATCCGGCTGAGCTTCCTCATGCTAAAGAGCGTATACGTAATGTCATACTGAATACTTAAGTTTTACCTCGTATTCCTTCGGTTTTCCCTTCGCATAACGTACTCTCTCTCTCTCTCTCTCTCTCTCTCTCTCTCTCTCTGATTTTATCCAGCAAAAGTGAAAATGCAGAAATATTTGCTTAAGTGGTGGTGAATCACTCACCAAGATGAAATTTTTATCAAGGAGGATCGGATACAACTTTCAACAATTCTTCCGTCCGCTAAATACACATATATATGTAAATGTATAAGCCTTTTCACTCTAGGAACCCAAAAATTTCATGCACATTGGGGGTTTTACTTTGGCCAGAGCAAGAATGGAAGCGGGAAGAGTCCACAACCCTTCGCCGCAAATCAATCCGGAAGCAACCGCCGGAACCATCAGCACGGCCTTCTTGCTGTTAAGCTTGTGCCATACAAACACAATCAGACTCCCAATGCACATGTCTATGGCAAAGTATGCCCCGACCAGAAAGGGAACGCCCATGACCATCGGAAGTGGCATCCATTTTCCAATCTTAGGCGAAAAGTCTCTGACTAGGTTAACCAACACTGCGAACGCGAAAAAGCCGTAGCAGAGCTGCAGGCAATGCTGAGGCAGCGCCGAGAAGCCTTGAACGCCTAGAATCGCCATGTTTCTGTAGATCAAGGCGTACGGAGCTTTGAATTCTCCGTGCGGGTTTCCCACATCGAATGCCTTGTAGAATAGGAAGAAGCTGAGAGGAGCTGTCACACAGCCTAGTAAAGTGCCAATGGCTTGGCTCACAAACATTGCTCTAGGAGAGGTGAAAGTTAGATGGGCTGTCTTGAGATCTTGCATCAGAATGCATGCCACGGAAACCACCGATTTGATGAGACCGCACCCGGCAAGCCCTGCCACCACACCGTGCTCTTTCCCCGTCATTGCTGCCAGCACGAAGAGGGCAACCTTTCCGTAGTTATAAGCCATGTTTATATCGGTTAGACCAGCTCCGTACGCATTGCAGAATGCAAGAGACGGAGCAAGCATGTAGGCTACTATAACATAATACCATTTAAGCTCCGGGAACATCATCGGGATCGCGATTATCGAAATGATTGAAAAGACAACGTATCCGGCGACTGCAACCCACGTAGGGATGTTTTCGCTGAGGAAGATTTCGTTCTGTTTTTCTTCAATCGGCTTTGCCTTGCGCTCGACATCTGCAGGGAGAAGAAGTTGATTAGCAAAAGCTTCAACTAAAACAACACAGCAGCAGCATCAAACAAAAGGAAATTCAGAGGCTGATTCTATTACCCAATGGGAGATTCTTGTTCTTCAATCTGACATGAATATTAACAATGGTGCAAGCCAGAATCTTGATGAAGTTGTACATCCCGTCACCGAGGATTAGGGAAACCGAGAGGAAAACCTTGTAACCGTATAAACTCTTCATGTCGTATTCGTCTAAACTCTCCGAGAACCAGTGTCCTTTAAGCCGGCCAATGAGCGGCCACATTACCGCGAAGGAGAGCACAGATCCGAGAAGCAAAGACAGGTTTACCAGATGGGAGCATATCATGCCTGCTCCCACAAAAGTCATGCTAAAATCGAAATAGAATCTGCATTTTGGTAGCAGCAAATTATGAAGGATTAGTAACAAGAAACAGAAGCAGGGAAAGCGAAACGATTGAGTGATAAAAAAATTCGTACGTATTCTTCCACGCTTGCAATCCGAATGTCGGAAACTGCGAGAATCCGCATTCTTCTGTGGCACTGTAAAACCACTTGAAAAATCCCCACAGGAAGCTGACTGAAAAATACTTCATGAATCCGTGTACTTGCTTCCTGCAAATCATCATAGCTTTGGCTGAGTTTTGATTCTAATGGGGTGCTTTAAGAGCAGACCTGGGCGTAGCCACATTAGTTAAAGCGAATGTGCTCTTCCATATGCACCCGAGTTAAAAATATTTATGTGTACATGTATATACACACACACATAAATATGGGTTTCAAAGGATTGATAAAGAGAAGTGTTGGCAGACGTTTACTTAGCCATCTTATCTCCCTGAGTGTGGAAGCCATTGATGAGAACCGCAGTTGCCAAACCACTTGGATAAGTCAATTTCAAGTCAACTATCATAATCTGTAAAAAGAAAAAACAAAAATTCTATATGAATATCTACTTTAAAGGAAAAAGAAACAATATTTATCTTCTCGAAGTCTCATCGAACAAGTAACTAAAGAAGGCAAGGAGCTTGCAGCTCAAGTGATTAACATCATTTATCCTGAGTTAGAGATCTTGAGTTTGAATCCTCAAGTGATTAACATCATTTACTCTGAGGGAAGAGGATGCTCTCCGGATCCACTTTGTGGGGATTCTAGGGAACATCATTTACTCTGAGAGAAGAGGATGCTCTCCGGATCCACTTTGTGGGGATTCTAGGGATCCCCACATCCTAGCCGTTTATTGTATACCGTATAACCAGTTTTTGTCGGATACTATTTATGTTAAATGATCCACACGATGCACAATAAATGATTAAGATATGAGGATCCCTAAAATCCCCACAATTTGGATCCGGATGGGATCCAAATCCTACTCTGAGCACGATTTTAAAAGTCGCAAGTTGGACGACAGACAGAGGCCCAGCGCATAGGCGTCTAGGCGGGGACCTAGGCAATTTTGTTTAATTTTAGTTAAATTTATTATATAATATATAAATAAATGTCTATATATATATTTTTTAAAATACATAATTGTATTGTGATACGTAAATCGCAGAATAGAATGACATATACATTATAAAGTATTAGAACATATTCAAAACATGAGGAACAAGTATATAATAAGTGATCATCCAGGTATTCAACAAGTTTTTTACAATTTATTGAAAAAATAAAATGCAAAATGATAATTATCTAATTTCTATCTAAGTGAGAGTCGCGACTTAAGCGGATGCCTAAGCAGGTTGGGCCTCCTTTCTTAATTTTCAAATGCATAGGGACTTAATCAGGGCGGCGGTCAACCGCTTAATGGCTAGGCGGTTATTTATAGAACAATGATTTTGAGCCAGAAGTCCTGTGTTTGAATCCCCTCCCAAAGGGAGTAGGATTATCTCTCCTCCTATTCTCATCTCCTTCCCTCCCCTCCTTTCACATATTACTTTTTGTCTTCTTCTTGCTATTACAAAATTAACACAAAATGTTGATGTGACTTAATCGTAATCGTTCAAATAAGAGTCGTTCAAATAAAAGGAGAGAGAGACTAGGAGAAAGAGAATCCTACTCCCTCCCAAAGACGAGAAAATACCAAGAAACTAAAGAGTACAAGATCTGTACCTTTCTCAGAGGAATCAAGACAAAAAGGCCAACAAAGCAGACTAGAAAAAGGAAGCCAGTCATCCAACCAAGCCCAGGTTCCTTAACAGCGGTTGCAGAGTTTCCTTCTGTGTTCACACCTGAGAGCTCATATGTCTTCTTGTTTAATCCCAACAAATAAGATGCAAATCCACCTGTTTATCCAAAAATGTACAAAATTAAAGATTAATTAAAAATTAATATAACACATAAAGAAAAACAAAAAGTACCTCCCACAGCAATACTATAACAAGCAACAGCACAAGTCTGAATCATAGTATTCTCCTGCCGAGTGAAGGGTTTTGATTTGAATCCGGCCTTCTTGAGCAGGTTCGTCCACGTTCGGATGAACACGAAGGCGAGGAGAGCAGCAGAGACATTGAGATTAGGAACAATCCCAGTTGTGAGGTTTAGCTTCATGGCTATCACACTGAACACCGTTCCAATCACTATGCTCGCGACGACTCCCCGGACTGTTAGCTGCTCTGTCCACGGAAGGATAGTCCCAACCAGCCCCTCGGGATGAACTATCGTGTCTTCTTCCATGTCATCTCTCTCTACCTCCTTCTTCTCTCGTGGTTCCAACTCCATGTTCATGGCTTCAAAGTCCCTGTTGCTTGTTTGTTAGGCAATGGGAATAAAAAAAGAGTTTCAAATGGAATGCATGAAATCCATTTTTTTCCTCTATCAAATAAAAAGAAGAGAATGCAGCACGAGAACTTCTCAAAATGTCACTTATGCATGAACTTACCGTCGAGTTGTTATATTTTAGTCCTTTTTCCACCTTGAGCTTAGCTACAATGGATGGTACGGGACTGGATTGACTTGGCTATACAATTACAATTACATAATCTTGAAAAGTTGATAAAAGTATTTGGTGGTGCCTATTGTAGTGAGCTAGACAGGAAGAAAATGATGCTTCCTTGGTGAAATATATAGCCCACAAAGTGGAGAAATTACTTGGACATGTTTATCCTCTTCAATTGTTCTCGGCTCACAAACCTACAAATTCCAAAACCACATGAGTATATCTTATCACTATAAAATTTCAGACACTACAAATATCTCACGTTATGGTCTTTGTTTTTATATATAATTCAACCACTTGCATAAGTACCAACCAAATAAATAAGAATTTCTGTAGTGGTAGGAGGGCAAACTCTGGCAGAAAGTGCTTGATATAGAGTAGGGCAAATGGATTACAATATCATAATTATGGGTCCAAATGATTTACCGACTTCACGGGAAGTACTTACATACACTCTTCAAACACTATTATTGATGTTTTTGTCCAATAATACAATATATGCATATTAATTTTTTCGCATGAATTATACTATTGATCTGAAATCCGAAAATGGCATGTAAATCTCTATCCTACAATCCCACTTCACAGATATTGGCCTTACTAGCTGGCCTTATCATTGACCACATTTCTCATTTCTCTTTATTCTCTTCCACAAGGTGTTGCCCTCATGAATTGTGATAAAGGTGTTGGGGTAGGACTAGTGATTGCCTTCCCATGTAATAAAGTGGTTAAATTGGACTTTTGGGAATTTGTAAGTTGTGGATTTGTGGGTCAAATCACCCCCTCATTGAGCATGATGGCTTCATAATACTCAAGAAGATTCTCCATTGTATTTGAAAAAACTTTCTTTCAATCATAGTGCTTCTATTCCACATAATTTCATTGTAAGTTGCTCTCTACTATATTTTGCACATTTGGCTTGGTTTGTTTGGTACTGCAGACATTGGAGCCGTTGCTTGTGAACTCTCAACTAATTAGATGGTCCGTTTGGAAATACTTTTGTACGAACCACTTCTATACATAATTGTTATACACGCTTCTGCTAGAAGAGCAACAAAAATCCTATTGAAAATTCAAGTACTTTATGGCAAATCATTTGGAAGTGTGCTTCTGGAGTGTTTTTATAATCCAAAAACACTTTAAAGTTATTCTACCAAACATTGTCAAAAGTGCTTCTCATTTGAAAACAATGCTAGTCATTCTGAAAGCATTGTCAAACAAAATACTCGTTTCTAATTAAGTAAGTATACATTTGTTGATGCGTAGAAACAGATCAACAATCAAAATTGAAATGTCAGAGAGGCAATCAAAACAGCCAAATACGCGATTTACCCAATTTGAACTTCGTCCACAAGGTTGTCGAGTGTTCTCATGAAATAACTCATTATATTACATTACATTAAACATCAAAAGAAAGTGATCCTCTTACTTCTGTTCTCATCTTGCATACTTAAATTTGTTTCGAGAATTTAAGCTTGCATAAGTTCAAATAAGAGTGTGCAGAAGAATAAAATGAGTTTGCGTAAATCATTTCTCTAGGTCAAATCCAACAACTACTTTTCAACTCAATATGTGACCATCTAGATCAAAACACTAAAAATAGGTTTTTATTCTCAAGAATCTTAATCAAATAAGAAATAAAGAGGAAGCTAAACAATGTAGGGGGATGGCCAGTTAATGAGAACGAATGCAGACCATTCTTTGCCCCGTGTAAAAAGCAATGGCCATGAGCTCTGCACACGCACACTGTCCCCAGCTGTGCTTTTGGAATATTCTTGCAACTTGAAAGTGGCTTTCACACCAGAAAATAAAAATTACACAAAAAAAAAAAAAAGAAGAGAAAAAAGATAACAGATGAAATTAATATAATCCCAGATTACTAAATTAATTAAGCTTCACTTATGAGCTTATATATTTCTTTCTTCTCTGACCAAAAACAGAAACTGGGCTTGGATAAACCCAATTTGGTATTGGCTTATTCATTTATTAGGTTGCCGACTTGATTATTTTCTCGTTACAACGATATTACTATCTTAAGTTAGAGTAAGAGGAATGTGGATAATTCAAATTTAGCAAATAATGAGTTAAAAATGAAGACTCTATCTACTAGAACAATTCATTGTTTCTCCACGGACCTATTTTTTAATTTCTAGCTTATGAAAGCATCTCAACTTTCATCAAATCATGGAAAAATTGTTCTCTTCTTTAAAAGATTACCACTACTTAAGAATATATTTACAGTGGTGGGTACCCCCAATGTTGAAAACTAATTGGGAGGAGGGACTTAGGCCAATAGAGATAGCTAGGGGTGGCCTCATTTGAAGGTCTCAAGATTTTTGTATCCAAGTACTGTGTAATATGTAATCAACCTGTGAGCTCATCCAAAAACATAATAATATTACACATCTTTTTTGTCAGGACATCAACAGATATTTACTCCCCCACCCCACTCCAACCCATAAACAATGTTAAGTTGAGAGATATTTGTAGCTAGGTTCAAGCCTAACCAACCATGTGATCCTTTGGGGACACATATGTGTTTGCTTTATTTTACAAAAAGAATTTAGGCATTGACCAATACATGTAACACATGATTTTTTGGGCATCGATCGGATTCGTGGGCAACAATCGTATTCGTGTCATTCGTGAATATAGATTTTAGGTTGATTGAAAAAGGGTACATGTTTGAAATGATTGTTGTAAATTTTTGTTTTAATCTATGTTTGTCAAATTTTATAATTCAAACCTTTCTGAATATCTAATGATTCACATTTTTTTTTTGAAAAAAAAAGGACCAGCGGTGGTTTCGTCATAGCAGTCCACATTTCCAGGGGCAGAGAAGACTCACATAGGCATTTCAGCCTCTCTCTGGCCACCATCGTATGATTCACTAATGCTGAAAATCAAACACAATACATGACGTGTAGAATACGAGCCTGTAATTCGTCCTCAACTACTGTACCATCCTATTGTGGTTAATGATTCACATATTTTAGGTGGAAAAAGAATCTTCTATATATATTTGTGTGTGTGTGTGTATATAATGATTGAATACATGGTCGAACATATATTTATGGAGTCAAAAGATGGAGTGCAGGGGCATTTTGGTTCAAAAGATGGTTTAAGAGTTGAAATTCTTTCATAACATCATGAAAATATTTGTTATTTTCTGCAAGAAATAACTATTAGGGTGTGTTTGTTGTATCGGAATATTTCGGACTGAATTAGCTTAAGGAACTAAGTCGGATTGGCTTGGCATGGACTAAGCAGTACTAAAATTATGAAGCGTTTAGTGCAATGCCGGACTAGTTAGGACTAATTTTTCTTTTTTAATTATGAAAACTTCTACTTTCTTGTCTAAAAAACTAAAATGCACTCACCGCCACTCCAATTGCACAAACCCAAACTAGACAATTTTTTTCTCTATCTCTCTCTCCAGGTCGTGCCTAATTAAGTTGGATTTTCTTGTAAAATTTCTGTTTTCTTTCATTATTGCAATTCAATTTCTTCAATTTCTTCAATTTGTATGAACATCTGTGCCCTTCCCGTCTTTGAACGACAACTCGAAAATCCCCACCCAGAAATCAATCGACGACCAAAGACCAAACCCAGGCAAGAAAGACAAAAGGGAGAAGGGGAGAGAAATGGGTAATAGGCACCCTTAAAATACACCCATGTTGAAATTTGGGAGGGAAATAGGTAATAGGCATGGCCTGATTTAAAGGTTTCAAGATTTTGTATGTGTGTACATCATCCAATAGTTCACAAAATATAATAACCAATAATTTGTTAAGATATCAAGAAGCTTATGGCGTATTTGTGGGTTCCAATCAAATATGATTACTAGCCTTTTTCTTTTCCTTTTTCTTTTTCTCTTTTGGAAATATATTTTTTACATAATTTATATGGCCAAGCGATTCGTGACTTATCATCACACGTTTCAAATAATATATAAAGATATTGTTGATGCACAAAACCGGAGGTCTTGGAACAACGTAAATCCGACCGTGAATCTACAGAAAGTAAAGAACACAAAATGTATCGTGGTTCACCCCAATGTTTGGGATACGTCCACACTAATGTTGATTGTATTTCTCTATATGAATGTATGGATTACAAGTGTGAAGGGGAGTCCCCCAGAGAAAGAGAGGGTTTGAGAGAGCTTCTCTGTGAGGATGAGAGCTCTGAATATGAGAGCCTCTGTTTAGGGATGTGAGGCCTCAAGATTGTGAGGGTGAGGAGTCCCTTTTATAGACTAAGGGCTCCTCCCATTTTACATAGATCATGGACTCAATGTCTGAAAGCCCAAGTAACGAGACCCAATATAATATGGTACTAACAGTAGTCCCCCATGTCTTCATTCAAGAGAGTCTTTTGGCTGGAGACTTGAAATTCAGTCCATGTGTGGGCCGAAGTAACTAGATGTCGTCTAGAACTGATACTCGATATGAGGCGGTGTTCAATGTGAAATGATGATTAACTAGAAGTAGCGCATGTTGCGAGACTGCTCAGCTTATGGCTTATGTTGCCTTGGTTGGCTCGGCTTGTGGCGTTGAAGGTGAAAGAGTCTCTTTTATAGGATAAGGGCTTACTCCTCAATACATAAGTGATGAGTTATGAGTGATGCTAGCGGCGAGGCGGTTGCTCAGCAGGTGACGATGCTCTCTAATGATGGTGAGGAAGTCCCTTTTATATAATAAGGACTCACTCCTCAATACATAAGTGATGGGCTAAGAGTGATGCTCGTGGCGAGACGGTTGCTCAGCTGGTGGCGATGCTCTCTAATGATAGTGAGGGAGTCCATTTTATAGAATAAGGGATCGCTCCTCAATACATAAATAATGGGCTAAGTCTCCCAATATATGGTACATAGTGTAGTCCCCTAAGTCTTCAATCAATAGAGTCTGTTGGCTGGAGACTTCAAATTCAATCCATGTATGGGCCGAAATGGCGGTTGTTCGGAGGCGGTCTTTGTATACCATGCACTAAAGCTTTGTAGGTGCTTTGAAAGTGAAGTTTAAAGCTGGAGCTTTTGTAAATGAAGCTTTGAAGTCGAAGCTTCGTAAATGAAGCTTTCGAAGCTGATTGACATGAGTGATGCTCATGAATGTTTATATGAGTGATGCTCATGAATGTTTATATGAGTGATGCTCATGAATGTTTATGTATGATTGACATGAGTGATGCTCATGAATGTTTATGTATGATTGACATGAGTGATGCTCATGTATAATT